AAAATAGCTGCCCTATAGTAACTGAGGCAACTATGTTCTCATCACACTTGGATTCTGGTACCTATTGAAAAGATTTGATAATTTGAAAATGTTTACCAGGATTCTGAAGGAAACAAAACTGTTAAACACTTTGAATTATATAGCTTCTCATTTTGTAAGTTTAGTAATAAAAATTATAGTGTTATATATGAATACTAAATAGAGATGAATATTTCTGGTAAGCATAATTACATGAAATTGGAGGAGCTGGGGCCTCTGTGCTACATAAAGCAGTAAATTTCATACACACTTATGGACTTGTAAGTGTAATGTTGACTGAATGATATATGGAGGCGATGATAAAATGAGTCAAAGACTGAATGGATATTTGGAATTTTTTAGAAACCACGTTATTGAGGTATGATTGGTGAACAACGACTTGTAAGTGTAATGTTGACTGAATGATATATGGAGGCGATGATAAAATGAGTCAGACTGAATGGATATTTGGAATTTTTTAGAAACCACGTTATTGAGGTATGATTGGTGAACAAAATGCTGTCCATATTCAATGCATGATATTTGGAGTTTGAGACTGTTTCTAAAAGGGTAATCTAACAATCTTCTGTACATGTTCAAAGGAATATTTAAAAATATTGTATAGACAGTTGATTAAGAGAATAAAAGTTGAATCAAAGGAACAGGGGATCATTCAGACTTGTCAGTTTTTGTGTGGATATTGAAAAGCTTTCCATGATGGCTTTTGGGGTTTATTTTAAATTATAATTTAATTGATCTAGGCACCAGAAAGCAACTGTTCCCCTCTTATCTGAGAAGGGAGCATAAAGTCTACCAGGTACACAGACAAAAATCTGGGTGGGAGTAAGAGAAGTGCAAAGTGTGGACTGAGAATGGAAGACACTGATTTTAGGCATCTAACTGTAAGGATGGGGGTTATGGTGTATACTGCCTTTCAATTCTATATCAGGTATGGTTGATGTTAGGGCCTTACATATGTTTGCAGATAGCAAAGCAGACTGGACCACTTAAAAATCCTTCCAAAGCTTTTGTTGAGTTTTTGCCAAGAGACTGTTAACATGAGAATAGGGATGATGTTTGCCTGTTCAGTGCTGTATTTCTCAGTGCCCAGCAGAGTGTCTGGCACATAGTAGGGGCTTATTAAATACTTGAGTAATGAATGATATGTTCTATTCATATCATATCCCTGCATAACAATAATCATAATGATAGTTGTACATTATATCCAGACAATCAATAACTGTTAATAAAGTGCTTCACCTTGAAGCTGGCAAGATTTACTTATTCAGCAAACAATTCTTATATATGTCTTCTCTCTGCCAGACACTTGCTAGGTGCTATGGGTTCAATAGTGTACAAAACACATACAATTTCTACTCTCAAAGAGCTCACATTCTGATAGATGAGATGGTCAAGAAAGTGGGTCATCACCATTAATTGTGGTAAGTGCTACAACTTGGGGTAAGCATAGGGGGCTATGGAAGCACACAAGAGAATCTCCTAACCTTATCTTGTGGAGTCAAGGAAGCCTTTCTGAAGAAAGTGACAATTTGTCTAAGAACTAAAAGATGAATAGGAGTTAGCTAAGTGATAAAGGAATGAGAAGAAAATTAAACTGAGGGAACTAGCTGTGCAAAGTCTTGAGTCATGCCAGTATTTCAGAATGGGTGATATAGTGGAAGGGAGGTGTGAAGAGAGATGAGGCTTAAAGAGGTAATGTAAACTACCAAAGTCACTGAAGAAAAAGTGGAGAGTGAGATGAAAAGGGCAAAGACTGAAACCTGGGGCAAATAGCTTCTAAGTGGCAGAGAGAAGTAAAGAAGCCATCAAAGGAGATAGAGAAGGAATGGTCAGAGATGTGAAAGAATAGGGAGAGAATGGTGTCATGGAGCCAAGTGAGAAGGATTTCAAGAAGGAAGGAGTGACTGAGAGTATCAGATGTAGCAGTAAAGTTCAGAAGGAAGGAACTCTCCATTTTATATGGTGATTTAATGAGAAAAGAAAAGCATTATTATGCCTATTTTACACAATAAAACTGAAGTTCACAGAAGTTAACTGTCTTGGCCAAGACCATGCATCTAATAATTGATCTAAATATGAACTCTAATCCAAGTTTTCCGGCTCTAACTCCAGTGCTGCTTCTATCATCACTGTCTTAATATGTATAAAAAATCAGCAGTTAGCTAAGAAATTATCATTAGGATATAGCTTTGAATATTTTCTATGAAGGTCGTTAAGCACAAATATTCTAGTAGAATATTTTGGAAGACTTCAAAGTATTTTTATTAATGTTTTATCAAATTTTATACTACATGGGTTTGGAATTTTTATGAGAGTTTGTGAAAAGTTATGACAAAATTGAACCTGGATATGCCATTTGTTCTGAATTTTTAATTTTGTAATATACATTACTCCACATATAATTATGCTCATTTGGCCGGCCTGTGGCTCACTCGGTAGAGTGCGGTGCTGATAACACCAAGGCCCCGGGTTCGGATCCCATATAGTGATGGCCGGTTTGCTCACTGGGTGAGCGTGGTGCTGACAACACCAAGTCAAGGGTTAAGATCCCCTTACCGGTCATCTTTAAAAAAAAAAAAAAAAAAAAAATTATGCTCATTTACATACTGAACAGCTATTATGTCCAAGGCATGGTCCCTAGTTGGCTGACATAAGAGAGGGAGGCAGTTTTGGCCGACATTAAGGTGATTGTGCCCTACCAGCAGGAAGGGCATGAATATTTGGAATATTGTGGAGTGAGGATGGGGAGAGTAGTAAGAGACAGAATGGAGAAGATGGAAGGAAACTGAAACATTCCAGCTAAAGTTTAGGGACTAAAAGGCCAGTCTCTCTACCTCCCTTCTATAGGAACTTCCTTGATGGGATTTAGTGATGGGTTTATAATTTATGAGATTCACTAAAATGTGTGCTATTCAACTAATTTTTGAACATTTGACGGAGTTCATGTCATGACTTTGTTGTAATCAGTTAATACTTTAAAAAGCATTCATAAAACCAAAATTCACACTGTCATACAGCTAAGAGTTTGGTTACTCTAGTGTTAATGTTTTGTTAGATAAGAAATTCAGAAGCCTTCTGTACTCTGGCGATCTAGCAGAATGATATTTTATATCAATGTGTTCCTTAATCAAAGGAATGACATACAGGATGATACTGTTATTTAATTCTTCACTATCAATAATCATAGAAATAGGAGTGCTGTGTGCATGTCACTGACTTGGGCCCTTTGAAAATCAGGGACCAAAACAGTCCTGACTTTCTCACACATGACTATAGAGTCTGTATTCTTATGCATTATATTATACTGATGTCAAGAAAGCAGTACAACTAGGGGAGAAATACCAATCAGCTTATAAGGTTTTACCAACTGGTGTATTCAACAGAAACTTTAATTCAATTATTTGAGAATGACAATACTGAGCAGTAGAAATACGTTGGAAGCAAAAAAAGCACGATTGATAGAATTATATACACTGAATTTGTAATCTTTAGCTAACAACTGGCAGTAGAACATGGTATTGGGTAAGAAACAGGCATTTTACTTCACTTGAGCAGCAGAGCTTTTATTTAACCAAGCTTATTTCCTTTTAAATTGATACACACTAGCAATTATTCTCTTAGAATTACTTGGAGTTAAGTAGAACACAGAGTTAGGTTATTAAATGATTCTCAGGTATCACAATGAATTCTAAACCACAGTCAGCTGAGATAGCTGCATCTCATTCAATATCTGGGTGATAAGGATGTATCAATATGGGCTCATCAGCTGTAGCAAATGTACCACTCTGGTGGGATATGTTGATAATAGGGGAGGCCAGCATGTGTGGGGGCAGGGAATATATGAGAAATCTGTATCTTGCATTCAATTTTGCTGTGAACCTAAGTCACTCTAAAAAATAAAATCTATTGAAAAAAATAGCAAAATGGAAGACCTAAATCCATTCATTTCAATAATTACATTAAATGTTAATGAACTAAATGCAGCAATTAAAAGATAGATACTATCAGAATTGATTTTTTTTTAAAAGCAAGGTAGAATTATATGCTGTGTCTAAGAGATATACTTTTTTTTTTTTTAAAGCCGACAACATCTGGTATTCCCAGGTGGTCTCCCATCCCAGTACTAACTGGCGTGACCCTGCTTAGCTTCCAAGATCAGACAAGATCTTGTCTGATGCATTCAGGATTAGACAAGATCAGGTACATTCAGTATTGTATTGGCATAGATCAGATATACTTTACATATAAAAACATAGATAGCTTGAAAGTAAAGGGATAGAAAATTATATACCTTGCAAATTAAATCTAAGAAAGTTGGTGTGGCTATTTTAATATCAGATAAGTTCAAGAAAACGAGGTAAGAGGGAAATTTCATATTGATTAAAGAAGTAATTCAAAAAGAAATTATTACAATCATAATGTGTATGCATGTAGAAGAACCTGAAATTACATGAAACAAAAGTGGCAGAAAAGGAGAAATAGAAAATTCTTCATAGTTGAAGGTTGATAGAACTAGGAAAAACCCCAAAAGTAAATATTTAGAAAATCTAAAACATGATCAAGTATGTTAATCTAGTTGATACTTATATGAGTGTACTTCAAAAAAGTCATGGAAAAATAGAATTAAAAGATAATACAAATCTTTCCATGAACTTTTTGAAGACCTATCATAGACTAATACACTCAATAATTGCAGAATACACATTCCTTTAAAGAGCAATTGATATGTTCACTAACCTATTCTGGGTCGTAAACTTTCAGGGATCTAACACCAAGCAGCTTGTATTTTCTATACCCTTAATCTTGGGAAAAGTAGCTGAAAGTTATCACAATTTATTACTTACTTGGATTATGTCAGTATTTTTTGAGGGGCAATCAACATGCTATTTCTATTTATAAGAATATAAAACATTAAAATAAAGTCATTAAAATTCTTATACAATATTAAAATATTTTTCCAGGTGCAAAAATATTCAAAACTTTATAATCAGCCCAAGACCACATACAGCAAACATGAATGATATTTCCCAAAAGGCTGAGGTAAGTCTCAAAAAAAAAAAAAGAGGGCTATGTAAGCTTGAATGTAGAATTGCTGAAAGGGCAATCCTTTGGTAGAAAGTTCATATTGAGGAGTTCATAATTAATAACATAGAGTCAAGGTGTAAGATAAGAAGACATACAATTCACGGGCTGGTCTTAGGCCAGTATTTTCACTTGGATTCTAATCTAGGAAATATGATTATGAAATTTGTAAGTGATAATGAAGTAGATGTGATGGCTATCATCTTGAGTAGAATTTTAAATATCTTGATAAATCTTAGAAATTATTTTTTCAGTATTAAAAAAAAACCAAACAAGTTTGACCTATAATCATAGGAGAAAGCAATAATTTACTCTCAGGTGAGGATCCTTCTTAGCTCCTTCTTCCAGCAGCTGCAATAGGATTTCTTTTAGCTTTGTTCTGGTTCTTGGCTATAGTTACTGAGAGTTGTAGTATGAAGAGTTCAATTGATACCACCAAATTATAAAACACACACACACACAAAAAACCCCTCAAATGGCTAATGACACATAATAGATTACAAAATACAAGCTGGGTATGCCACAGATTAATTAAGCAATTTGCCATTATCACTAGGAGAAAAGGTTTGGTGTTCTGAGACACTGAAGTTTTATTTACTGAAACTTTTTAGAGATCAGCTTAATTTTCAGAAAAATGAAAATAATTCACTTTCCTGGTTTTAGAATGAAGGAAAAACTTTTCTTCAGTCTTCTACCAGATTTCCCTTCTTGTGAAGCTCTTTTGCCATTTGGGAATTTTCCTCTTAGAGCCCAACCCACTTGGAATGATACAGCCTTCTTAAACATTCTTAACATGGTTAAAGGAAGTTATAGATGGGCAGTGTAGCAGTAGTAACAACATAAATTACTGCTTGTGTACCTGGTGCACCTCAGCCACAAATGAGGAATAAAAGAACTAGCTTTCAGTTTTGCTTATATTAGTTATAGAAACTAGCAAGAATGTAATATGTGAATTAGGCTTTAACTTTAAAGCCTAAACTTTTGCTTTGTTTTCAGCTTCACCTAATTTACTGAAAGTAGCCTTGGTACCTTTTAAACAAGTGATGTCAAATTTGAATCTTTAATAATGGAGGACAATAAAATATGGGTTGTTTTAAATTAGAATTCAGTATTTGATATTTATATTTTATTGTCTTTCACCTTCAGTGGAACACCACCCACAAAATGGGACTTCTTTACAACATATGATCAAAATTTCTACTCTCATATTTGCTGTAATTTCATTTTTTATACTTAGGTTTTAGAAAGTATCCGATCAGGTTGTGATGGTTCAACTAAAGTTTTCAAACTCATTTCTATTTTGTTTCAATAAGTATTATTTATATTGCTTATTCTTCTCTATCTTTACCTAATTTCCTATTTTTTTTTTTAACTTTCTTCTCTTTATTTTCTTCTAATGAAGATTCTGCTTTCTTCATCTAAACCTGTCCCCAAAACCTATGTGCCAAAACTTGGCAAGGGTGATGTAAAGGATAAATTCGAAGCCATGCAGAAAGCCAGGGAAGAAAGAAATCAAAGGAGGTCTAGAGACGAAAAGCAAAGAAGAAAAGAACAATATATTAGAGAGAGAGAATGGAACAGGAAAAAGCAGGAGGTTATTTTATTTTATTCTTGTGAAAATACTCATTTTCATCTTTTTAATTTACATTTTATTATTCACATTTGCTGTATTTCATGTTAACTATAATTGAAATACTTTTCTGTACTGTAAGCTAATTTAAACTCTGAATATAATATGATTCGGTCTAAGTTTTGGACATGTATTTATATGAATTTATTCAACCATATAGATTAAAGAAATGCTTGCACCTGATGATGAAGAAGAGGTATCTTCTAAAGTAGAAAAGGCATATGTGCCAAAGCTAATAGGTAAGAAACTTGAGAGGTAAATTGTGAATAAAAATGCAAAAAAAGAAACATGGCAAAGTATCAAACATTTTTCATATATTCTTAGGAACTGTTAAAGGTAAATTTGCTGAAATGGAGAAACAAAGACAAGAGGAACAAAGGAAGAGAACAGAGGAGGAGCGAAAACGCAGAATTGAGCAGGATATGTTAGAAAAGAGGAAGATACAGCGTGAATTAGCAAAAAGGGCTGAGCAGGTATACACTAAATATTAAGTTGACATTTGCTTCTGAAACTAATTGTACAAAGTTAAATGAATCAGTTTGTTGCCTAATAAAATGTTTTAATACAACATAAACCTATTTAATAACAGCTGAACTGAAAACAAGATCATCTTAAGTTATTTAATATCAGATGCCTGGAAGGATAAGGGCAGAATGTCCTATTTTAAGGTAGAACATTCAGATGACTGTTGTTACATATGATCTTACTCTGTCTACCTTTCTTATTTTTCTTGGCATGTTAGAGGAATTTACAGAGATATAAGGCAGTTTCACACATAAACTATCCACAAGCACCTAACAAAATGCTGATCTTTTACCTTTTTTTTTCTTGGTGGGGGGAGGTGGCTGGCTGGTACAGGGATTGAACCCTAGACTTTGGTGTTATCAGCACCATGCTCTAACCAACTGAGCTAACTGACCAGCCCTAAAATGCTGATCTTTTAAAAGCAGTACTTTAAAATGTTAGTCTTTGAAAGCAATACTTTAAGTGCCTTAAATCTGTTTGCTATGTTTCCTTTGGTTTCCACTACCTTTCTGAAAAGAAAAGTGAGAATGAAAGTAAAGCCATACTTGCTGATACATGTGACATATTTGCATGCTAAAGAAGTTTATTTACCCTGACTTTGCAAATAACCACTTCTACAGTATAAATAGCCACTTATATTGTGGTAAATGATGACATATGCCAGACGAACTATAAAAAGAATGGGAATTTCCTGTATTACTTTGTACCTCCTTATCTGTAGAAAGGATGCTATATACTTTACTGCTGCCACTTCCAGTTATTAAAGATTAGCATTCATTTTACAGTGAAATTTCACAAGGGAATAAAATGATAATATATAAGAATTATTATATATTATAAATATTAAAAGTATTTAGTTATAATTATAGTTGTAGTATAATTATATTATGAATTATAAAATAAGGGAATAAAATATATTATTAAAATATATAGTACTTGGCAGAAAATAGTGAGTGTGTACATGGGGTTAGTCTATCTCTTTTAAATCTTGTGTCCTTTCCCACCAGTGATTATTTTCTAGACTTTAAGACCCACTACAACCCCAAGAATGGAATATGTAGGCAGTGGTTTCTCAAAGAAAAACTGTGTGTGTGGTGAAGAGGTGAGTTTGAATATGAAGAAGACACAGGATTCTCACACAGAGATGGAAACAAAATATGTTCATGAAAAAGAACCACTTCTTTAGTAACTCTAAATACTTGCCATATCATGTCAGGGTGCCATAGAACCTTGGTTAATGAAATGTTTAGCCCATTAAATTATTATTATGATTATATTATTTTTGTCCTTTTTGTGACTGGTAAGGGGATTGCAACCCTTGGCTTGGTGTTGCCTGCACCACGCTCAGCCAGTGAGCGCACCGGCCATATGTATATAGGATCTGAACCCACAGCGGGAGGGCCACTGCGCTCCCAGCGCCGCACTCTCCCGAGTGCGCCACGGGGTCGGCCCAGCCCATTAAATTGTTTAAGAACATGTAGGTAGAGTAAAGTGAACTATTAATAGTAATTTCATCTTGAAAATATGTTAAGTCTAATTTTAAAATCTAATTAAGTACATTTCCCTCAGATCTAATTTAATGTATCTTTGAATATAAGGAGTAAAGTATGGCATAGGTAGTCAAGAAGAGTCTTAATATTTGCAAAATCCACTTGTACAAATCTATATGCAAGAAATGCTATAAAAGGGATTCCTGAGACAGGGGGTAGCTGAATGAGTGACCTCCAAGATAATTACCAGTTCTGAGATTCTAGCATCTTATAATGAATTTAAAATGGGTATACTTTGTGTACTGGATGTTAGAATCAAAGATCAATAAAATTTGGGGCAGAATCTTGATTTGGTATTATCTGGTTATCTTTGAGGATACCCTGATAGGCAGAATTAAAGTCCATCAGCTTAGAAAAAGATTTTATTGATGGGTGAAGGGAATGTTGAAAAGAGAGGGGAGAAAAGGAAGTTGATTTGGGGGAGCAAAAGGAATAGTTTTCACAAAGCGAAAGAAATAGTTGGAAAGCAGCTCTTCTTCAATAGTAGCTTCTGAAAGTCAACACTATAACTGAACTTCTGAATAACTATTTTCTGTGAATATACTCATACCATCACCACTTACACAAATTGATCTTTTTTTCTTGTTTGCTGTGAAAAAAAAAAAAGAAGTGTCCTATCTTTTGTTGTTTTGGTAATGGTTTAAAATAATCAAAGAATAAAGTAAAAAAACAAAAAAAATCTCCAAATATGCTTTATTTTACCATAAGCTAAAAAAGATTGGGAGGTTGTAGCACCAAGAAAAAGAAAGTTGGGGGTCAAGAAATTTAGTATTTCGTTTTCCTATAGTGTCAATGTCTGGCTTCTCACCATATCTCCTTGATTTTTTTATTGATAAATTAACATGATTTGTAGAGGAGTTGTGAGTACTTTTTTGAAGGGAAGTCATTTTGTAATTATTTTTTATAGAGCCATTAAAATTTTTCTTAGTATAATATCTCATTCAATAAAACCTTCCCCACTTAAATAGCAAATCAGTGTGACAAGTAGTTCTGTAACAAAGCAAATTATTCTAAAGAAAATAATTTTGTAATGTACAAAATTATTCTGAATGAAACTATTAAAAATAAAGAATAAAATAGATTTTTAATAAATTATTTGTTCAGAATAAGTTATTTTTCAAGAAATTGGGTATCTTATAAAATGTATTATTCCTGACAGAGAATATAGAAAAAAAGAGTGGGATGATGAGAGGACAGAGACTCAGCCAGCCCAGTTCCTAGTATGGGCCAGGGTACAACAAAATTCCCTTAGACTGCATGAGAAATTAACTACTTCCAGATTCTTTCATTGGTTTTAAAAATCAAATTGAAACAATAAATAATCTGAGTTTTTACTTTCTAATGGTTCTCATTTTCCCATTGCTTATGTTTCCTTTTCCTGAGATCTCAAACATTGTATTACTTAAATCACCTATCTTCTCTCAATTCTCAGTTTGCTAAGGACATCAGTCTGCCCCTCAAGCTAGCCTAGTGATGTTTCTTATGAATAATGGTCAAGTTGAGACCCCTTTTTTTTTTTTTTTTTGTCTTTTTCCGTGTCCGGCAACGGATCACAACCCTCAGTGTTGCCCCCGTACCGGACTGGGGACCAGCAACGGGATCGCAACCCTTGGGGTCGCTCCCGTGCCTTGCTCAGCCAGTGAGCGGGAACCGGTCTGTATGTGGGATCTGAACCCTCGGGCGGGAACGCCGCCGCGCTTCCCAAGCGGCGCACTTATCCAGTGCGCCACCGGGCCGGCCCGAGACCACTTTTTAAATGAGAGCCTTTCCTACTTAGATCTGGTCTAAATAGAGAACATTATGACTAACAGAATTATTATTATTATTATTATTTTTGTGATCGGTAAGGGGATTGCAACCCTTGGCTTGGTGTCACCCACACAGCACTCAGCCAGTGAGCGCACCGGCCATCCCTATATAGGATCCTAACGAGCGGCAGGAGCGCCGCTGCGCTCCCAGCTCCGCACTCTCCCGAGTGAGCCACGGGGTTGGCCCTAACAGAATTATTTTTCCTCCTAAACTAGCCTGCATCTTTCACCACTTTGTTATTGTGTCAGTTATATTTTTGCTATATATTTATGTTGTAAAGTGTAATCATGACAATTATTTGATTGCTAATGATAGGGTTTCCTTTTACTGGGGCAGGGACAGAGAATGGAGAAACATTTCTGTGTATTTCAGTTTAAATTGCTAATTAAATTAATAATTGCTGCTTGTAAGCTCACAGCCAGGTCATAAAAGTTTGGTCCATTATTCAATGTCCAGATTTACAAAGGTAGGCTTTATCTTAATTTTTTCTTAATATGTTGTTCCCTGGTTATTTATATAAAAATGTAAAAACTAATATAAGGTTTAATCTCCATTTAAAAGGACATACTTGGCTAATTTGGAACATTAAAAATATTTCAAAAGTTACAAATTTGAAAATTAATCATAAATCATAACTAAATTACTTTTCAGTTGTATGTTTAAAAGCAAAAAGAAGAAATCCAATGTAATGTAATTATATGAAATTCTCATTCAATAGATTGAGGACATAAACAATACGGGAACTGAATCAGCATCAGAGGTAAACAGACATTTCCTTTAATGAAACATTCACTTAAAATTATCAGATTCACAAATTATCTTTCAATCTAAGAAAAAATTAAAAGAGCTTTTACTCTTTGTATTATAAATACAGCAAATAACAACAAAAAAGGTTTTGCAAAGCAAGATCATACTTTTATACCTTCAAATACTATAGCATAGTATTTTTTAAAGAAAAGTATGTTGTTTTTTCATAGTTAGATTAGAAGGACAAGTCTCATTAGTCTCAGTCTGGGATACTCTGCCAAGACTATATAGTTCTTGAACTGTTACTAACAGTTGAGATTACTGAAAACTAACATTTTTAAAAGGCAGTTTTTCTTTTCATCATTTGTCTTCTTTCCTCAGAGTTCCTGAGAGTTTGTGTTTGTTTTTCACATACTAGTATAGAGTGCACTATCTATTGTCATAAAGGAAAGTTTAACAATCACAAAAATTTTAGTCACCTCTTTTTATCTAACAGAGAAAGTTAAAAATCGATCAAACAATTTGATGGTGTGCCTAAAACTATAGCCACATATATTGAAAGCAATTTTATTTTAGGGTCATGTGTTATGTTTTATAACTGTCCTCTTTATTTTTGGAAAAAGAGGCAACAATAGATTATGTATTAGAACTACTTAATTTAAAAAAAAATAAATTTTAAACTATCTTAAAGGGATCAAATGTATCTATATTTATATGTATTATAAATGTTTAATGAATGACTTGGAAATACTGTTTTTCTCACTAAATATTAGTTTTATTAAGTATTTAAAAGCTTGCATGGAGAGAAAAAATCATATGCAGAAACATTTTTGTGTGTGTTTAAATTGAATCTATCCACCATCAAATTGATTTAGGGTATACTCACATGCACATTACCTTTTGTGGGACTAATGCACAGATAGCTAAATTCAGGCAATGACACTGCAGTTTTGTTATCTGAACAGCTTTATTAACTCCATCTCTAGGAAATAGAATGATTCTTGAACTTTGTCAGCAATGGATTTCAGTAAGATTAGTTCATAATGACCAATGAGCTTAGAGAAAGATATTTAATAGTAATCTGTAAAAAAAAATAATTTTTTGTTCTTCATAATAACATTGATGGCAATGTAATGAAATTCACCAACGATGGAAGTGGTAAAGTCCCATGAAACCTAAATTTTGATTAAGAAGAAAAATGCTAATTATCTATCCTATAAAATAGGAAGGAGATGATTCACTGCTCATAACAGTGGTGCCTGTCAAGTCATACAAAATATCTGGAAAAATAAAAAAGAATTTTGAAGGCCTAGAAAAAGAACGAGAAGAGAAAGAAAAGATCACCTATGAAGAAGATAAAAAAATTAGATATGAAGAAGAACAACGATCTCTCAAGGAAGCAAAGTGTCTTTCATTGGTGATGGTAATTTTTTTTTTAAGTAACTAATCAAAGCAGTTTAGTTAAGTTAGCAGCATTTCACTTTATGACTAACAGGTGGGGGGTTCATAATGTTTCTTAGGATGATGAAATGGAAAGCAAGGCAAAAAGAGAATCACTTTCTCCTGGAAAATTGAAACTAACTTTTGAAGAATTAGAGAGACAAAGACAAGAAAATCGAAAGAAGCAAGCTGAAGAGGAAGCAAGACAACGTTTAGAAGAAGAGAAGCGTGCTTTTGAAGAAGCAAGGCGGCAAATGGTAAATACAATATTAAATATAAATCCTACATTTACTATTAGGGAAGGTATTAGCTCACTTGTCTAGAGAATGGTGTTGGTAACACAAAGGTCAAGTGTTTGGATCCCCATACCAGCCAGCCACCAAAAAAAAAAAACATTAGGGTAGCTGGCTTTAGATTAAGATTCATTATCGTAAGTTCAAGGAGATTTTCTATATATAAGGGCCTGATTTTGAAATTATATGCATATTCCATATATAAAATGTATCTGCATTGTTTTCTAGTTTCCACTTTGGGGCATTTTACTAAATATGCTTTAAGTTTTTATTTTTACAAATTGTTATTAATATATAAATATGAAGGGCTGGTTAGTTAGCTTAGTTGGGTAGAGTGCGCTGCTAACACCAAGATCCCTGTACTGGCCAGCCGTCAAACAAACAAAAACAAACAAAAAATATATATAAATATGCAAAATAATTACTCAACAAACCTGGTTCCCATTCATCTGTTAGTTCAGCCTGCAATGTATTTAATAACATGGGTATAGGACATTTTCAAGTCTAATTATAAGTGTACACACTTGGTTTCAGTCCAGTTTTGCAAATGTTTGAACACATCAAAATAACAGTTTATGGAATATGCAGTTTGCCCTGTAAGGTATGGATGTGTGTGTATATATGTATGTAGGGTAGTGGTTAAGGGCATGGATTTTGGAGCCAGACTGCCTGGATTCAGATATCAACCATATACTAACTGTGTAACCATGGACAAGTTATTTAATTTCTCTTTGTCTTAGCTTCCTCATTTGTAAAATGGTAAAAATGATAGTGCCTACTTTTTAAATGGTTAAATGAGTTAATACCTAGAAAGCACTTAAAATAGTGTTTGGCATATACTAAGTGCTTTAAAAATGTTGATTATTATGAAACTGATAGATTTATCAATAAAAAATAAAATTGAAATAAGAAAACAGATTTCAAATCTCATTTTAAGAATTTTAAAATGGAACATCTATAATAAAGTTGTCAGAACTTTTTCCATCAGCTTTCATTAATGATGTTCTAAGGATTATATATCAAAAATTTTAATTTTTTAGACATTTATTTGAAAATGTTATGGCTTTTGGGTATTATAGTTGCATAATACCTACACATTTTAGATATCACTGGTAGCCAACTTGATAAATAGAAATATTGTTAATCAAATAATAAATTTCAATAAATATTTTAATTAATTTAATAATAAATTATAAATTTAAATTATAAAATCATAATACTTAAATTTTATGTAATATAGTTCCAGGTAACAATCTTTTATCTGACTAGTATAAGGAAAAGCACCATAGTTTATTGCAAAAAAATAAATCCATGAAAATTACAAAATGAGAACTTAATTTTACTACCAAAGAGACTCTGTGTAGGTATGCTTGAACATCAATTTAAGCACACACACACACACACACACATTTTATGTTTGTTCTGGGAAAGTAAATGTTCAGTAGTGACCCCTTTAACATTTAAAAAATATTTCATCTTCTCTATGTAAATATTTGACTTGCTTGAGAAATTTGATTTGACTTGAGTACCTCTTTATTTTGAATTTCTCCAAATTTGAATATTTTATTATATAAGACATTAAAAAGGAAGGTTTGGTCAAGTTTTGGTCAAGTATATTAAGGGCATTGAAACACTACTGAGAGAAGTAGCTCATTCGGTGCCTTTTGACTGGTAAGTCATTACTGTCTTTGATGAATTTCAATTCTTAGTAATGAATTGTTTATTTGGTTAGGTAACTGAAGAGGAGGAAAACCAAGGCACAGAAAAAAATTTTAAAGAATACCGTCCTGGTAAACTCAAACTCAGTTTTGAAGAAACAGAAAGGCTAAGGAGAGAAGATGAAAAAAAGAAAGCAGAAGAAGAAGCCAGAAGGAGAATAGAAGAAGAAAAGAAGGCATTTGCTGAAGCAAGAAGAAGCATGGTAAGACAGAACCTAACTGGAGAATGCTATTAGGATTCAGCTTTTAGAGTATGTTAGTAGGAAAATGATTAGACTTTGGGGAGTACTGTATTATTTCAGAAATCTGTGCCAATAGTAGGAATGGCAAGTAGTTTTTAAAGTCTTCCAGTTGGTTGAAGGTATTTACTTCAAATTAGTGTTGAGGTTTTGATTAAATTGCCATGCCTGTCATAACAATGAATATTATCTTTTTTCTTTGGGAAGGCATGTTTTCCAGAACTAAGTATAAAAGAAACAGTGAGTTCCTCTCCCCAATTTTTCCTTTTTTCCTCTCGATTATCTCCTCCCCTTCCTTCCTGTGCTCCCTCTTCATTCCTTTTCATTCATTCTTTCTTTCTTTTCAATTTTCACCTCTTCCAGTCAGTTAGTCACAATTATTTAACTCTCCAAAATGCTCGCCCATCACTCCTGGATATTGACAACTAATTTAACTGTCCCAAGGTTATATACTTCCTATACCATTTTTTTTTTTCCTTTTTTTTTTTGTCTTTTTTCATGTCCGGCAATGGATCGCAACCCTCAGTGTCGCGCCCGTACCGGGCTGGGACCGGCAACGGGATCGCAACCCTCAGTGTCGCACCCGTACCTTGCTCAGCCAGTGAGTGGGAACCGGTCTGTATGTGGGATCCGAACCCTCGGCGGGAGCGCCTCCGCGCTCCCAAGCGGCGCACTGTAGCAGTGCGCCACCGGGCCGGCCCTTCCTATACCATTTTAATGATTGTAAAATGTGCAGTTATCTGACAAACTATTTTCAATCAATTTGACATGTGAACACTGAATCCCTTTCTTGAAATGTTTTAATTGGCTTCAGTGATATCATAACCTGGTTGTCTTTGTTTGGGTGAGATTCAGACACATATATCCAAGTGTTTATTTGGCTTTATCACCAATGGTTTACAAATGGTTTCTACTGAGAAACCCCACAGACATTGTGAAAGCACTTAATTTTAGGAGTATAAGCAGGTTCAGAAGTGTTAGAAGTAGCTGTGAAGATCAGGAGAACTAGGCCAAAACTGTCTTTTTACTGTGATTCACTAAATGGAAAAAGTACAGGAAAGGAAAACTGTTAAACCAAAACCAAGTTTCCTAGAGACATTTCTCTATCAAAAGAGAGAAAAACTCTTCCTTCACTCATGTTGTTTTGCTATCCAAGACCAAGTACTGTAATTTCATACTATAGTTCAGTTCATTCATATATTAAATAAAAATTTTTTTGGCAATTTTTGGATTGTAAAACCATGTAAACATTGTTTCTGAGTTAGATTAGTGCTGTGGTGAAGCCTGGGTTTAAAATCTTGATAATATTTGGAACAAATAAATAGTTACCCCTTGCCTCTCTCATTCACCTACGTGTATTTCAACCACAGGGTCACAATTCAGGCCAGAGGTTTATGTATATTCCTTCAGGGGATAGAAAAACAGAGAATTGTTTTTCATGATAAAATGTAATTCAAGTCAGAACTTAAAAGCAGAGTTTCTATTTGCAATTAGAGATTGCCTGTATAGAGGGGATGATAATGTAGTAATAAAACTATCTTTTGGGAGCTTACTATAGTGTTGGACACACTGCTAAGTGTCTTGAAACTTTATTTAATCCTCATGACAACCCAATGAAAGTTGTCACAGGGCCGGCCCGGTGGCGCACTGGAGAGTGCGCTGCTTGGGAGTGTGGCGGCGCTCCTGCCGAGGGTTTGGATCCCATGTGGAGACCGGTTCCCGCTCACTGGCTGAGCGTGGTGCGGGCGCGACACCGAGGGTTGCGATCCCGTTACCGGTCAGTAAAAAAAAAAAAAAAGAAAGTTGTCACAGATAAGGATGCAGACTTACAGTGATGAAGTAACTTGCCCAAGGTCACAGCTATAGTATATATTTATTGTTTAAATTATTTAAATTATTCATGTAAGTTCATGAAATTATGAAAAGGCAGTCTAAGATATTATTTATAATCTTACTAGAAAGATTTTGAAGTCTGAATCCCAGCTTTGCCACTTAGTGTTATATTGACTTTGGGCAAGTTGTTTTTTTTTTTTTTTTTTTTTTTTTTTTTGTCTTTTTCCGGGTCCGGCAACGGAGCGCAACCCTCAGTGTCGCCCCCGTCCCGGACCGGGACCGGCAACGGGATCGCAACCCTCGGTGCTGCCCCCACGCCTCGCTCAGCCAGTGAGCGGGAACCGGTCTGTATGTGGGATCCGAACCCTCGGCGGGAGCGCCTCCGCACTTCCCAAGCGGCGCACTAGCGCAGTGCGCCACCGGGCCGGCCCTGGGCAAGTTGTTTTGTATGTCTCAGTTTCCTCATCAGTAAAATGAGAACAATAATAATAATATACTTACTTCATGGGGCTACAGGATTAAATAAATTAATACATGTAAAGTGCTTATAACTGTACCTGGAAGCTCTATGTACAAGGGTACTTCAAAAAGTTCATGGAACAATAGAATTGTTGAAGTACCCTTGTATTAACTATTATTATCTCTTTAAATGGGCTGGCTGGTTAGCTCAGTTGGTTAGAGCACAACCTTGTAACACCAAGGTCCAGGATTCAGATCCCTATACTGGCCTGCTGCCAGATCATAGCATTAAGAGTGATTTTTGCCTGATTATGAAGAGATCATGATGGATTATTTAATTCATTCAGACAAGACCATGACTTAACTGAAATGTTCTATTAAAAATTTTTTTTGTCTGTCCAGTTAGCTCAGCTGGTTAGAGCAAAGCCTTATAACCTCAAGGTTAAGGGTTCAGATCCTTGTGCCGGCCAACTGCCAAAAAAAAAAAATATGTATATTTTTTGCAGCTGGCTGGTATGGAGATCTGAACCCTTGATTTTGGTGTTATAACACTGTGCTGTACATAACCAACTGAGCTAACCAGCCAACCTTGAAATGTTCTATTTTAATTACCAGATTGGAGATTCATTTAAATCTATTTAAAAAAAATGTTCTCAATATTAGAAAATCTTAAAATCTAATTCAAATTATTTATAATATAAGTAAAGTCAAAGTATTTCACTGTGTTCATCGGAATGGAGAATAGATAGTTACCATATCCTTCATAACCACAAAATACCTCAGTCTTACATTTTCTAATAATTCCTCCCTTATTTATTGCTTCATACTTTTGAAGAGAATTTAGGTATCCTGGTTTTTAGTTCAATGTGAAACATTTCTATTCAAGTAATCCCAGGTTCTACTAGACATATTCTCTTTTTATAATGTATAATTCTGGCAAGAGTGATAATTATTTTAGATCATTTTAAACAGGTAGTAGATGATGACTCCCCAGAGATGTATAAAACAATTTCTCAAGAATCTCTTACACCGGGAAAACTGGAAATTAATTTTGAAGAATTATTAAAACAAAAAATGGAAGAAGAAAAACGACGAACAGAGGAGGAACGGAAACATAAACTAGAAATGGAGAAACAGGAATTTGAACAACTGAGACAAGAAATGGGAGAGGTAAGATTTTTAAGAAATATACATTTGTATTCTACATATTTATTAAGCTAAGTATTTTACTTACATTACCTTACAGTAACCTGGTATTATTATTCACATAAAGGATACTCAACATATTCCTATGAGGCACTTACTTGATATAGGCTTCAGCATAGTTATGTGTACTTTCTAGTCTGTTATAACTACTCTTTCATTGCTTATTTAAAAAAAAAAATTGGTTTGCAAGTGACTGAAAATTACTATAGTTCCTTAAGTAAATGTTTTTACTACATACCTCAAAATTGTGTGTGGGTACACTGTGACTGAGAACTGTTGTTCTAGAGTTCTTAATATACCCTTTTATACTTATTTTCCTTGAAAGAAACTGATAAATTTAATCAAAGTAAGATAAAATACAAGAGTACCATGGATGCGAATAGGTTCATCAGTTTGGCAGGTCTTTTTTTTTTTTCCCCTAAAGAAAAATCATTTATCTATTTTTTTTTTTTTTGTCTTTCCAAAAAAAGACATGGTAAGGGGATCGCAACCCCTTGGCTTGGTGTTGCCCGCACCGCGCTCAGCCAGTGAGCGCACCGGCCATCCCTATATAGGATCCAAACCCGCGGCGGGAGCGCTGCTGCGCACCCAAGCGCCGCACTCTCCCGAGTGCACCACGGGGCCGGCCCGCCATTTATCTATTTTTTATTCTGTGAACTTTTTCTATTCTATACAGGGGACATTTTGTACAAAATATGAAGTGTACATTTTTATTATCACTATAAAATACAGATAAATGTATGTATAATATTAAAAAGATGAAGTATAAAGTACGTGAAGAAGATATTCAGAATAGCAATATATATATATATATATATATATATTTTTTTTTTTTAAAGATGACCGGTAAGGGGATCTCAACCCTTGGCTTGGTGTTGTCAACGCCACGCTCAGCTAGTGAGCCAACCGGCCATCCCTATATAGGATCCGAACCCGTGGCCTTGGTGTTATCAGCACCGCACTCTCCCGAGTTAGCCACGGGCCGGCCCAGAATAGCAATATTTCTGATGAAGTTTGGCAAATCTTTGATCATTTTATTTTACTAAATTACTCCAAGAGGGAACTTTGATTCTGTTAAATATCTTAGTATGATTTCTGTAGTGTTGAAATTAATTAATATACATATAGACTGCACAGGGCCAGCTTCATGGGCATGTAACTTGTGTACTCACAGGACCTCTGTGTTCAGAAGGGCCGCTGTTTGGGATTTAATGCTCTGAGGTTGCCCTTTTGAAATTCTTAATTTTATCTTTGAATTTGTGTATTGTGAGGACATGGAGTGTACTTTAGGATATTGGAACCTTGACTCACCTGTGCCTCCTATTTCTCTGCCTCCCTGGATGCCTTCTCAGCAACACCCTCTTGAAGGCCCTGCCAAACCTCCTTCCTGCCCCTGGATGCTGTGGCCCTCTGTCTGAGTGGCCCAGGTTGTGTAGGTGGCAGAGGTGAAGGAGGAGGCCAGTATTTACCATCATCCTTAGCCCCTGGCAGTAGCCAGGCTATACACATCAGCAGGTTTGTGTTCCAGCAAGCAGTCCTATGACCTGAGGTGAGGTGAACAGTGACTGTGTCAGCTTTGAACTGGCAGTGCCATGGCATGTCTGGCAGGTGACTTGATGGGGTCCTCTTACCAACTCTTGATCTAGGAACCAAGTGTGTCCCTATGCAATCTCTTGGAAGTTGCCTTTTTGTCATGAGTTGGGGCAGGAGGCCTGTGGAAAGGAGTTTTACTTCACTGCCCTGGCTGTGGCTCAGCAAATTATCTAGCTGGCCCTGAAGATATAAATGCCACATAAATATATGAATAAAATATCATAAATGTTGTAGGAAAGTTTTCCAAGGTCTAGTTCCCCCCCCTTCCCTCAAATTCAATACCATTTATTTTTTTATATTGTTATAAATTGTACTTATTATTTATGCCTCTCGTCTAGTCTCTCCCCATCCCCCTCTCCCTCCACACTCCCCCCTAGAAATCTAGAATACCCTAGATTTCTTCTTTCTGAAATAGTAATGGTTACTCTGTTGATTTGTTGCCTAGATTATCTGTCCAATGCTGAGAGGTGTTCAGGTCCCCCAATATTTTCATAGAGCAGGTGCTTCTTCTGTCACTCTGGAATAGGCTTTGTGGAGACATCCTGTTCTTTTTTTGGGTCTCTGCTTGTGACTCTCCTTGTGTTAGTGCACTCCAGTGGCTGGTGGACCATCTGCATGGTGGTTGTAACATCTAGCCACTTTCATGGCAGCCGTGGTTACTGTGGTGGCTGTGGTGGGCCACCCACAGAGAGGTAATGTTTTTAGTATGCTCCTTATTGCTGGCGGTGTGCCTGGTTGTGAGGAGGGTCTGGTCCCTGGCTCCATACCTCAGGACCCCAGTTGGGCCCTGAGGTGCTGGCAGTGTGCCTGGTTGTTGGTAGGGGGTCTGTTCTGCACTCCATGTCTCAGTACCCCTGGCGGGCCCAAAGGCACTGGTGGTGTGCCCGGTTGAATAACATTTATTTCATAAAGGAAGCTGAAAATTGCCTAATTCTCTTTGAAAACTCACTTCTAAAGTAGAGAATATTTTAGTACATTATTGAAATGTAGTCTAGTTAATATATGGCAGTATGTAACTGTCTTGAAATCCTGGTGCTATTGATTTACCCTGCTATGTTGGGGAGATTTCAAACAAAGTAGCACGCCAGTTCCTAGACTGTAGCTAATTAGTTCAATGATTAATTTTGATCAGAGTGATTTAGAAACCATTGTGATATGTCATAGATTTGCTGGTTTCTCATATTTTATGGTTGCATATTTTCACCCACATAGTTGTTAAAAAGTGGAGGTAGTATAAAGGAATGTTTTCTCTTTTAACCCTTGGTTGAGCCAAGAAATTAAGCCTCACGTCACATCATCCACTGTGACACACCCCCACTCTCTTTTTAAACTTTGCCTAGAACTCAGGTTTTCTCCAAGAAAAGCATATTAAGAATACCTGCAGTATTTTACCACTCCGTATAGTGGGATTAGTGTTTAGTGTAATAAATATTACAAAGGACAAGTAGTAATAAATAGTGAAAGTCAGGGGAAAGGCATTTGAATGAAAGGACAAGTAAAATGCTATAAAGAACTGGAGCCCAATTTTGGTTGACTCCTTTTCTATCTTTCTTGACAAAAAAATACAATTGAGAATACAAGTGGTATGTGGAGAAATGCAGGGATTTTAGGAGACTATGCACATACCTATTTTTATTGCACTTTGTTTTACTGTGCTTCGCAGGTGTCGTTTTTCACAAATTGAAGGTTTGTGGCAACACTGGTCCATTGGCACCATTTTTCCAACAGCATGTTCTCACTTTGTCGCATTTTGGTAATTCGCACAATATTTTGAACTTTTTTCATTATATCTGTTATAGTAATCTGTGATCACTGATCTTTGATGTTACTATTACAATCGTTTAGGGGAGGCCATGAACTGGGCCTTTATAATGATGTAGAACTCCACCAACTGGCCATTCTGTTTCCCTATCCTTGGATCTCCCTATTCCCTGAGACACAATATAGAAATTAGGCCAATGTATAACCCTACAATGGCCTCTAAGTGTTCAAGTAAAAGGAAGAGTTGCATGTCTCTCACTTTAAATCAAAAGCTAGAAATGATTAAGCTTAGTGAGGGAGACATGTCAAAAGCCGAGACAGGCCAAAAGATAGGCCTCTTGCACCAAACAGCCAAATTGTGAATGAAAATGAAAAGTTCGTAAAGGAAATTAAAAGTGCTACTCTAGTGAACACATGAATGTTAAGAAATGATAAGAAAGCTTTATTGTTGATATGGAGAAAGTTTTAGTGCTCTGGATAGATCATCAAACCAGCCACAATATTCCCTGAAGCCAAAGCCTAAACCCAGAGCAAGGCCCTAACTCTCAATTCTATGAAGGCTGAGTAGTATGGAAGCTGCAGAGCAGAAGAAAATTTGAAGCTAGAAAAGGTTCATAAGGTTAAAGGAAAGGAGCTGTCTTCATAACATAAAGGTGCAAGGTGAAACAGCAAATGCTTATGTGGAAGCTGCAGCAAGTTTTCCAGAAGATCAAGCTAAGATCACTGATGAAGGTGGCTACACTAAACAGGTTTTTGATGTGGATGAAACAGCCTTATATTGGAAAATGCCAACTTTCACAGCGAAAAAGAAATCAATGCCTTGCTCAAAGTGTCAAAGGACACAGGCTTTCCTGACAGGAGCTAATGCAGCTGGGGTGACTTGAAGTTGAAGCCAATGCTTACTCTTAAAATCTTAGGGCCCTTAAGAATTATGCTAAATCTACTGTGCCTATGCTCTAAAAATTGAACAACAAAGCCAGGATGTTTACAGTATTTAAGCCCATTGTTGAGACCTACTGTCCAGAAAAAAAGATTCCATTCAAATTACTCCTTACTGATAATGTACTTAGTCACCCAAGAACTCAGATCTCTAAAAATTGAACAACAAAGCCAGGATGTTTACAGTATTTAAGCCCATTGTTGAGACCTACTGTCCAGAGAAAAAGATTCCATTCAAATTACTCCTTACTGATAATGTACTTAGTCACCCAAGAACTCAGATGGAGATGAGATGTAAAAGGAGATTAACGTTTTCATGCCTGCTAACCTAACATCCATTCTGCAGCCTATGGGTCAAGGAGTCACTTCAACTTTCAAGTCTTATTACTTAAGAAATACATTTTGTAAGGTTATAGCTGCTATAGATAGTGATTCCACTGATGGATTTGGGCAAAGTAAATAGAAAATCTTCTGGAGAGGATTCACCATTCTAGATGCCATTAAGAACATTCGTGATTCATGGGAAGAGGTCAAAATAACATTAACAGGAGCTTGGAATAAGTTGATTCCAACCCTCATGAATGACTTTGAGGGGTTCTAGACTTCAGTGAAGGAAGTAGCTGCAGATGTGGAGGAAACAGCAAGAGAACTAGAATTAGAAGTGGAGCCTGGAGATGTGACTGAGTTGCTGCAATCTTTTGATAAAACTTTTAAAAGATGACAAGTTGCTTCTTATGGATGAGCAAAGAAAGTGGTTTCTTGAGATGGAATCTATTCCTGGCGAAGATGCTGTGAACATTGTTGAAATAACAAAGGATTTACAAGATTACGTAAATGTAGTTGATAAAGCAGTAGCAGGGTTTGAGAGGATTGACTCCAGTTTTGAAAGAAGCTCTACTGTGGGTAAACTGCTATCAAACAGCATTGCATGCTACAAAGACATCTTTTGTGAAAGGAAGAGTAAATTAATGTGGCAAATTTCATTGCTGTTTTATTTTAAGAAATTGCCATAGTCACCTCAATCTTCAGCAACACCACTCTGATCAGTCAGGATCTCCTGAGGCAAAAGCCTCCAACAGCAAACTCGCTGAAATCTCAAATGATTGTTAGCATTTTTTTTTTTTTTTTTTTTTTTTAGCAATAAAGCATTTAATTAAGGTATGTACATTGTTTTTTGGACATAATGCTATTGCATACTTAATAGAATATAGTACAGTGTAAACATATTTTTTTTCCCCTTTCTTTGCCAGGGATCCAAACCCCTGACCTTGGTTTTTTAACACTGTGCTCTAACCAACTGAGCTAAGTGGCCAGTCCCTTAGCATGAACTTTTATATGCACTGGAAAACCAAAAAATTTGTGTGACTCCCTTCATTGTGGTGGTCTGGAACCAAACTTGCAAAATCTCCAGGGTATGCCTATATATTTCTAGAAATGCCTGTTAGCTTGAGTATTAAGCGTGATATTTAACCTTATAAGACTACCATAAAAATCAAAGATAGGAGAAATTTTAGATATTCTGGCACTACTTAGAGATGAAGAAACTCATACCCAATGGCTTAAGCAACTAAGCAAAAGGCTGCACAATATCAGAGCCACAGCTAGAAAGCATATATGACTACTAGCCCTGTGTTCTTTCAATTCTATTTCCTTTTTTTTTTTTTTTTTTATTCTATTTTCTGGGGTGGCCAGTTAGCTCAGTTGGTTAGAACAATCTTCCAACACCAAGATCATGATTTAAGATCCCCGTACCAGCCACCTCACACCACCAACAAAAAAAATCTTCCTATAATTCCTTGTGAAAACTAATCTTGCCATGTAGATTTTGGTTTTAGCAGGTTATCATGGAATGTTAGAGGTTTTTAGCCATATTCTCTAATGAAATTAATACTTTAAATGGAATGAGATGTTTTCTAAAGTCTTAAATTTGTAGCACCACTTAATACATAGTAAATTTAGACATTGCACTTAGGGAAGAGGTTATTTACGCTTTATTTTTGGCTTCAAATAATGGTGCACTCTTTGGATGATATGTTGTACAATACAAACTAATTTGTTGATATTCAATATATCAAAACCTCAATTTTTTTTGAAGGAAGAGGAAGAAAATGAAACCTTTGAATTGAGCAGAGAATATGAAGAATTAATCAAATTAAAAAGAAGTGGTTCTATTCAAGCTAAAAATCTAAAAAGCAAGTTTGAAAAAATTGGACAGTTGTCTGAAAAAGAAATACAGAAAAAGATAGAAGAAGAACGAGCAAGGAGGAGAGCAATTGACCTTGAAATTAAAGAGAGAGAAGCAGAAAACTTTCATGAGGTATATTACTTTCATATCTAACATAAGTATGATATAATAATAAATTTAATAACATTAGTTTTGAAATACGCTTTAGTACTTACAGTTAACCACTGGTGTATGTAACAATCTGGAAACTAAATAACAAAGGCATATTAAGATCTTTAGAGACTTTGAAAGACTTCCCCATTCTAGCACTGTTTCACAAAATTACCTTTATCAGTGTTAAAACCCACAGTGAACTTCAAATGGCTCACTCTAGCAAAAAAGGTTCAAAAATATTTATTGGCATATGTTCTAGTTAAATCAGTAGAACCAGTGTATATTTAAGTTAAACGCCAGAGGTTAGTCATACTTTCTTACTTTATACATGAGGCCCATAAAGCCCACATGATCTGCTCAAAGTCACAGCAATAATTCAGTGTTAAGAACCTAAATTAGAATTCTGATGACATGAAGTACCTCCATATGTAAAATAAGGGGGCAATTACTGACCTGTAATGTCCCTTCTAGCTTAAGGACTATTCCCATGATTATGAATATTGGTTTAAATGGGATCTAGAAATTTTTTTTCTCCCAGACTTGCCATTTTATATGTGTTTAATCTATATTCTTATAAAAATACATTTATATCAAATATCCCAGCAAAACAGGTGTGGGAAATTGGGAGGGGCTGCCTTCAGAGGGGACTGTGAATAAAAAGATAAAATGAAAATATGTGCAAGTTATTGGGACTAGACGCAATTCACTATTAAGGCAAGCACAGAGAGCAAAAGATAATGGTGATGCAAACACAGGTGAGGTGTTCACGGAAAGTCTTAGATGCCATGTGAAGAAAATTTTAAAACATGGAGTGATATTATCAGATAGACTTCTTTATAGCTAGGCCATGCTGAAGCTAAAAATGGTATTAGATAAATGCATTTAAAAGTTATTTGAATGCCTACTATGTTCCAGGGATTGCTCTGGACACTGGGACTACATGAATGACTAAATTTGCAGTGCCTGCTCATGCATGGGTAGAATTTAATGGGTGGGGGGAAAGGGATTGAAAACAATTTTAAGGTGGTAAAAAAAAAAAAAAAAAAAAAAGATGCCTGACCCTATATGCAAAAGATCTGACTAAGAAGTGAATTTTGAGAACTTCCCTCCTCAAGGCGGATATCTGGTGCTCAGAATGTACTTTCCCAATTCTCCAGGGGCAGTTCATAAATAATGAGATGGTTAAGTTCCAAAGCTGGATCATAAAAATGACATTCACTTTTTGTGTAGCCTTAAGAAAGTCACTTAATTTTTGAGCTTTCTTTATCCATTTACGAAAAATTTATTAAGCAGTTATACTATAAGCCACTGGATCCTTTTACTATTTTGTACAGGGTGGTCAGAGAAGGCCTGATGAGGATTTGAACTAGTGCTGGAATGGGGAGAACAGATTAAGTACGTAAAGATTCAAAACTGGCAGGACTTGGGGATGGTGGAGAGGAAGAGAGGGAGAGGAAGGAATCAAAGTGACTATATGAAGTGAGTATATCAAAGTGAGTATACAATAACAATATGGGAACACTAAAGTTTGGAAGGAAGAGAGGTCACAGCTATTTTAGACAAATGGAGATGCTGTGGAACATCCAGATATCCATCAATTTGATAGTATTTGAAGCTTGTGTGACATATACTTAGGGCCTGGGCCAATTGTTGATAAGCCTTTTCATCATGGCTAAAAGAAGCACACTATGTTGGGCAATGTTGTAGTGGGGATGTATTAGTGAATATAATATGCCTTTAACAAGTTCAGCCTAATGAGATATGATCAAAGAAAATTATAGTGGTTATATGTACTGTAATAGATCATTCCATGTTGAGGGGACATTATGAATAAACACAAGAGCTTGTAAAAATGAGGAGTGGAAAACAGGTTCAAAGGACTACAAGGTAAGGTTCACAGAATAATGGGTGATAGGATATAAAGTTGCAAAAGTTGTGGCTAGGGCTAGCCCGTGGCTCACTCGGATGAGTGTGGTTCTGATAACGCCAAGGCCACGGGTTCGGATCCCATATAGGGATGACCAGTTTGCTCACTGGGGGAGCGTGGTGCTGATAACACCAAGTCAAGGGTTAAGATCCCCTTACTGGTCATCTTAAAAAAAAAAAAAAAAAGTTGTGGCTAAAAAGGGCCTTTTTAACCTTGCAGGTAGTATGATCTGAGGAACAGTGTTTATCTAAATTTTAGGACAGAGTAATAAAATACTTGCTTATGAAAAAACTTTAGGATTATAAAGGATAAATTGGAAGATAGGAGTGAAGGCATAAACTTGGAGCCAAGGGAGAAAAACAGATCTAACAAAACCGGGTTAACAGGTTGCTTTTGGGCAAGTGGTTGCTGAGGAATCTAACATTACTTCAGAATTACCAGGGAAACTAGACGATGCTACAGAGAAATCAGGTCTGGAGAGGTGGGGTGAATAAATTGTTTTGGACATATAAAATTTGAGCTACTAGAGGCAGTCTGAAACATAGGTCCTGAGTTCAGGCAAGTCACAAGAGTTGAGGATTTTACCTTTTATAGATAGTAGCTTAAAGTATAGGAGTAGATAAAGCCATTTAGAAAAAGCTAAGTTTGGAAACAAATGATAAAATCCTACAGAACACCAATATTTAGTGGATGGACAGCCACAACATCAGTTGAGATGGAGTTTTTAGATAAATGTGTCACAGAAGGTAAAGAAAAGTTCGATCAGCATGCACTTGCTTCCTCTTTTTTGTTCAAGGTAGTAAAACCTCAGAGCAGTTATACCTATCTCTACAAAATATGTAAGTAAGAATAAAGGAAATAGGTATGTAAGTGACGTCTTGCTTTATTTTGAATAAATGGATGTGAGATTAGGACATGGCTCAACTTCTGTAACCCACGATCTTCTGAATGGAATTTCCTGGGGAGGACATTTAAGTCTCTCCTATCATACCTTCCTGGATTAAAGGTCATTTAGATAGCCTTTAAAAACTAGTGTTAGGGCCGGCCCGGTGGCGCACTTTTACAGTGCGCCGCTTGTCGGCGCTCCCGCCGAGGGTTCGGATCCCACATACAGACCGGTTCCCGCTCACTGGCTGAGCGAGGGGCGGGCACGACACTGAGGGTTGCGGTCCGTTGCCGGACACGAAAAAAGACAAAAAGGAAAAAAAAAAAACTAGTGTTAGCAGTTCTGGTGCAACCAACTTCCAGAGTAGGGACTCCCTCCCATTTGAACCCATACAGCACCGCCCCCTGCTCCCCATTCTGATTACATATCGAGTTTCCTCCTTTAGAAAATGTCAATGTTAAGTATGTCTTCACAAATTGTATATATTCTAAACCTTTCAAGGCCTCACTCATGTTACCTTCCCTAATCAAAGAATTCCACCTTAATTCCTATAGCACTTAATTAACCTGTACCACTCGTTTGGTACTTAAATCACTTCAATGCCTTACACAGTGTTTGACTTTCTAGTTAGATTTTCCAGGTTTACTCCAAAACCACTTCTTATGCTTCATTGTATGTTAATGAAAATACACATCCTAACTATGCTGCCTTTAATATTCACGGGCTGGGGATGTCAATGCCCTATAAAGAGTGTTCTTAGAGAACAAAGTTCATTCTACTTAATTTGACTCTAGTAGATTCCCTTCCCAGAAACATTTTAAACCTGTTTTTTTCAGGGGTTGAAGAAAAGTTGACAGCTGTACTTAACAGAAAGACTGCTCATAAACTTTCTTCCATTTAGCTCATGAGGAATCCTTTTACTTACTCAATTTTCTTATTTTCTAAGTGTACATTTGAGACAGCTAAATGAAGAATTACTAATTTACACTAACTTTATTCTAAAATCCAGAAGGCAAGTTATAACTGGGACGGATTCAGTTAGAATATTTCAACAGGTATGATATCTACTACTCTACATTGAAGGTCCTTTGGTAAACAAAGAATAAAATCAAGTGTATAGTGTGAACAGAGGTCTTTTTCTTGTTTTGAAAGAGCCTGTTGAGATAAAACTGCAGTAAGCAAAGCATTGTTTAACATGTACTTTTCCTTGTCTCTTACATATAATAAAAAACCCACATCATTCATTAGCAATAACTGTAGTCAGGCATTATGTTTTTTTCTTTTTTGACCGGTAAGGGGATCGCAACCCTCAGCATGGTGTGGTCAGCACCACACTCAGCCAGTGAGCACACCGGCCATCCCTATATAGGATCCGAACCCGCGGCCTCGGCGCTACCAGCGCTGCACTCTCTCGAGTGAGCCACGGGGCTGGCCCATCAGGCATTAGGTTTATCTACTGAAGGTAAATAATGGCACAAAAAATTCTAGCACTTTACAACAAACTCTGATTCAGAACTAGAAAAACTATCCAACTTTCTTTTACCTATTATTTTCATTGGAACTGAACTGCAACACCTCAAACTGATGAGAGACATCTCATGAACCAAGATTTTTCTTATACAGGCAATTAACCTAGTTTGGATGTGGTACCCTGAAGCAGTTTCCCAGAAAAATGTAAATGGTGATACTTCCAGATAGATCCACAAAAGCTCAACTAATTTAGACTCCAACTACTTTAGAAACCACAAACTGTACTGTTAACCCCACTCAGCTAAAACTGCTTATGAAGGCCATTAGTGACATCATCATCACCAAATCGACTTTTTCCTAGACTCATACTATTTGGTAGTTGACAATCTGCTCATATACCACTCCTTTAATTATTTCCATGGTTTCCAACTCTCACTCCTAAATAGATGACTCGCGTATTTCACCTTAATGACTTCTCTATGTTCTTAGCCATTGCCTCTTTCAATAGTTGACTTCCCATTTTTCTACATGTAGACACTCTTCCCTGCCATTTGACCGTTAATAATTTGGGTTGAATTCATCTCAAGGACACAGTTCTAAGGATAGGAAGCACAATTTCCGGAATTGGATGGGATTTAGTGAAAATCTGCATGTCTGCAGTGTAGCACAAATATACATACCAAATATATTATCTTGGGCCTATAAATGACACCTTCAAGACTATTAACTTTATTTAGTTCTTGGTTTTTATAAAACAATTATTATTATTTCTTGAAGGAAGAAGATGTAGATATCAAGCCTGCAAAAAAAAGTGAAGCTCCGTTTACTCATAAAGTAAATATGAAAGCTAGATTTGAACGAATGGCTAAGGCAAGAGAAGAAGAAGAACAAAGAAGAATTGAAGAACAAAAGCTACTACGCATGCAGTTTGAACAAAAGGAAATTGATGCAGCACTACAAAAGGTACCAGGCTTACAAAGATGCTTTCTTTCTTTTTTTTTTTTTTAAAGATGACCGGTAAGGGGATCTTAACCTTTGACTTGGTGTTGTCAGCACCACACTCTCACAAGTGAGCCATGGGCCGCTCCAAAGATGCTCTCTTAAAAACCAGTTGTATAAGGAGGGATTAAAAAGTGTTTAATAGCTTTCAACTCACTGGAATGTTTTGTAAAGTACACACTGTGGTAAATTAAACACTTACATGTTCTGTACTTAAAAAAAAAACACATTTGCCTTCAAAATTCTATTACTGAACAACTGTCATATAAATACCATATTATAAATGCCAACCTGAATGCACTTATTTTAATATAGAAAAGAGAAGAGGAGGAGGAAGAAGAGAGTAGCACCATGAATGGGTCCACTATTGAAGATGAAGAGCAAACCAGATCAGGAGCTCCATGGTTCAAGAAGCCTCTAAAAAATATATCAGTTGTAGACAGCGAGCCAGTTAGATTTACTGTTAAAGTAACAGGAGAACCCAAACCAGAAATTACATGGTGGTTTGAAGGAGAAATATTGCAGGATGGAGAAGACTATCAGTATATTGAAAGAGGAGAAACTTACTGCCTTTACTTACCAGAAACTTTCCCAGAAGATGGAGGAGAGTATATGTGCAAAGCAGTCAACAATAAAGGCTCTGCAGCTAGTACCTGTATTCTTACCATTGAAAGTAAGAATTAATCACTCTTTAAATCTTTTATTCTATTCATGTTTTTTTCCCCTTAAAAAAAAAATCACTTTTGTTCTTTTCTTTTTTAGCTGATGACTACTAGCTCCCCTTCCCTCCCCTTGGAACTTTCTCTCTGTCTCCAACTTTCTCATTACATCCACCTTTTCTGTGGCGGGGCCAAAAAAGGAAACCAGAAGTGCCACTATGTTGACTTCTTATTCCTTTTCATAACAGTCTTCAAAACACAAGCTCACCTAAAGAACACCTTCTTGTCCAAACTGAGCACCAGATATATTGCCATATTATGCAGTAGCAGTAAAAATGTATTTAATGGGGGAGAGGGGTAAATTTACTTATTCTATCAGAACCTATTACAAAGACTCTGTATTTCCCATAAGTTTACAGCACTTATGTTAAAACAAAAAAAGTAGGATACATTATTTTGCATGAAAGAATGTCATTTATGAGCTTTTACACCTAAAATTAGTCTGAAATAGTTGAGAAAATGAATTTGGAACCTATCAATTTGAGTGGACTTTTTTCCTTGGTAGTACATCATTTTGGTTTTTATTAAAGTCTTTCAGAAGCAGACATATTAGGGGGGTGTCAGAAGGGGGGGGAGAGTAGTGGCATTCCTTTCATGGAAAAGGGGAGCACGGAGAAAACCAAAAAGAATTAAAGGACTTTTAAAAAACAATTGCCAGAGAAAATCTAACAGAAACCACTGCCTATACGTGTTCTGAATGTTGAGAATATTAAACATGTATTTTTCAAATGTGTGTAATTATATATAATCAAATTTATAAAGCAAGTTTATGTTGTGATCTTGCCTGAACAAATTATATTTTAATGAGAGTTTGTATTAATAGTTTATGAAGGAGAAAAGTTTATCTTTCAACATAATTAAAGGTTTCAAGATCTATGAGGATTAGAATCAGGAAAAAATGGCATAACCTTTAATTTAAAATTCTAGTCTTTAAAATGAGTTTGTAAATAATTAGCTGCCATGTTCTATTATCAAGTTGTTTTACATTTTAATATTCTGGAAGACAATTTTATCTTACAATGTAAACCCATAATAAACTAACTTCTGTATTTAAAAAAAAAAAAGGTCTTTCCATATTATGAAAGGTCTGCCCCTTTATTGTTAGAATTTTTGAAAACCCAATCTTTAATGAAAAATAGTTCAAGTAGAAAATTTTTTACTGAGTATTATGTATAAAAGACACAAAAATACTCCCTTAGATATTCACCAATGTACATTTATTTTTTTATTGAGGAAACCATAATGCATACAAAATTACAGCAATCATGTGCCCTTTTACATACAATGTCATTAAAGCAAACTCTAAACCAGTTTGTAAAGTATTCAATTTACCTCAAGTCCAAGCTGCATCTCCCTAAGACACTGTTCCCATCACAGTAGCCATTTTAAGCCAATCTTCTTTTTACACACGGGTAGTTTCTGTAGAGAACATTTTTCTCAGGACGAAAATGCATCGAGCATGCATAAGAAAAAATATATATATGCGCAAATACATTTAAGAGTTTCTATAGGGATATCACTGAAGAAAACAAAACCCTGGGATATATTTGCTTCTTAAAAGCACCAATTAAAAAATCCCTCAAAAGTATATACTGTGGCAAGAAAAATCAAGTGACTAAACGATAAGGTTATTTTCAGACTCAAAATTAACTAGGTATTAAAATGCATTTGAAAATGAGGCAGAATTTGCAGAAAATAATAAGACATCCTCATGGATTAGTAAACTACATTATTCTAGACAACAGATAACTTTTTAGGTAGAACTGGTTCTACTGGCAGAGTATTCAAATAAATGAAATGTTATCACTTCTGAATGTATTCCTATTTTCCTCTGAAGGTACTCTGCTACTCCTACCCAAACCCACCCTTATGAATTAACTACCAAGATATTTGCTTAAGGATATATTTTACAATGTTTATAAACAACTAGTATTATATCACTAGTCTCAGAATTAAAACCATTTTCATTAATTAAAAAATAAAACAATACTTCTCATTTCTTAAAGAAACATCAAACCATAGAATTCTAAGTATCACCACACTAAGATGTCTTAAAAAAAAACAGGAACATATTGTCATCTTTTTAAGTGCTAAATAAACTAAATCAGTTCACAATTTCATTCTAAACTAAACATTGTTTCTAACGCTCCTAACATCCATTGCATTCAAATCAACTGGCTCACCTTTTCTGTTTTCCATTTATTTCAAGGTGAAGACTAGCTCCATTTAAAAGAATGCTTATAGTATCAGTGAAGGCTTATGGTAATGAATTAAAAAATCCTCATGAAATAGAAACAATGCCCCCAAATCTATTAGTATTCATCTATATTTTCTTTTATGAAAATGCAAACTACAACTAACCCAAACCTGACAGGCTCTTAAGGTTCAAAGAGGCCGTCTATATTATCAGTCTTAACATACCTATCACTGACTATTACAACACACAAACAAATAAATGTGGTGCAGTAACTACGTATCAAGAAATTTAACAGTTCATGGAACATTTAAGATCAAGTGAATAGCACTTTAAAATGAAAAGTGATCAAAAGCAGGTACATTACACCCTATACCATATTATGTATGGGAATACATTTCATATTTCTCAATTATGATTTGCCAATTTTACCTTCTACATTGAGCCCTTCTATGGTCCATGCTCATCGGCTCACCAATGGCATATGCTCAAAGGATTCCTCTTTATGGGTAACTATCTCAGGACCTGATTTTATGAGCTATGATTTGGTGCTTGCAGCATCTTCAGCACTGTGTGTGAAAATGAAGGCAGTATTTTTGAATATTTTTCTTTGTTGTAGAGATATAAGCAGGAGTTTTAAAAGGATCAGCACATTTTAGAAATCGAATAAACAAAACTGATATGATGCTGCTTTAATACATTCATCTTAACTCAAAATATGTACCAGTTAAAATAATCTATAAGAACACACAAACATTTTAAACTGGCAAAAAATAAAATAAATGCAGCGTCAGTTATTAAAATATTATAACTCAGAAAAATATTGGTTGCTACATAGATTATAAAAGGTTATTTGCTATATACAGTTAACATTTCACTGATGCACATGCCTTTTTATCAAAACATACTGCCAGTATTCCTTACAATTTTTTCCCTCTTCAGCATATATAAAAGTTATTAAAACTGAATTTTCTGGAAAAAAAATTGTAAAACTCTGACCCATAATTTCCTTACTAAATTACAACAGTTCAAGAATAAGAAAAATAAAGAAACCATCGCTTTGGAGGGCAAAGAAAATGTCCTGTCAATCATAAGAACAGACTGTGAAGGCTGTTGAAGTTTCTGAACAAGTGATTTCCTAAATCTTGAAAACTATGTAATTGTCCTTTAGTAATTATAACACGTCTATATTTGGGGAAAAAATAGAAAAAGATTTGGATATAGTTTAATTACAGCAGCAATCTACTCATCATTTTGTTTTAATAAAAAAAAAAAATTAAAATAAAGAAACATTACCCAGAAATGTAAACAGTTGCTTGAACAACTTACAGACTTTCCACTGAAATGGTAGCATAAATAACAAAATACATTTTGGGGAAGCAGTAGCAGATTGCTTTTGAATACACAACCACAAAAACCTCACAGGGACAACATTAATGTACTGAAATATTTATTTATATATGTCCTTAGGTTGTGCTTACCTGTTGCTTTTTGCAGCAGAACCTAAGGTGGAAGGTCTGGGAAGGCACTGTGAAGTATAAATAATTGCACTGTTTGCAATTAATAAAGATTTTAAACCTTAAATGAATCAAAAGCAACAGCCTCCAATTTGTGAATTATGATACTGAATCCAACTGCACTATTTCTTCAGTTTAATTAATAAATGCACCACTTTCCTAAAAGGTCATCTATAAAACAGTATCATGCAAAATACTGGAATTGTTCATGTCAATACCCTACTCAACAGATAACTAACTCCTTAACTTTTATACTTGAAATACTTGAAACTAGAACTACATATCCAGATCTAAATAAGGGTAAGGGAATTCACTCTAGGTTATATAAAACAATCAAAAACATTTCGAAATATCTACAATGAACTGTACTGCTATTCCCACCCTGCAGGTAATTTCAACATTTACGTCCTTACACATCTTCCTTTAAAATATATCCAAAACAAATGGTGCTCCCCACCAAGGACAGAATATATATTTATGAAATGGTGTTAAAACTGCTACATTGCTCATTATTTGCAAACTGAAAACCACTTCTGTCTGATACATTTCAAGTCTTTCATATTAATATATAAGATATGCATATTTTACACTGAAAAAACAGTATTTTAGGAGCACCAGTGAGTATATTCAACTTTGTTAATGACCAGTTTTCTTTAGCTACAGCTAAAGCATATCAAAAATACTTACCCATTAAGCTCACTTAAAAAAAAATACAGAACTATGTATTATTCTATGTTAAATTACGAAGCAGTTATGGTTTTCCAAGATATCAGCACTGTATTCCAACATAATATTCACACAAAGTATGGCATTTGCATTATGTGGAACATTGACAAAAAGATACTGTTGCAGTTCATCAATTTGTCATTCTGATGTACTTACAGTGCAATGCTCCTTGAAGGAACACAATCAAGGATGATACACAGCACAGTCCTCCTCACCCCTACAGAGCTAGTTCTATACTGGCTGGATCAAACCTGCACTTCAACAGACAATGGCAAGACAGACTGTATTTGCATGTAGTCTAATATATTAATATGCAAAGAGCCAACAAATATGCAAAGAGTAAAACAATGGATTTCAACAAAATATCAGAATTTCAGCATGAGTGTTAAAGAGTAATAAAATGATTTCAAGTACATAAAAAAATTAAGTTGATTCAATGATAGGACTTGTGCATTTACAAAACAAAGCTTATCTATACTGCAAAAAGAAAAAAAAAGAAAAAAGCTTGAACGTTTCCATAACCCAATTATGTTTCAATGGCAAATGCAAAGTAGCTATATACTTTCTTCATACTATTCACTTTTCTACCCTAAATTTAGAAAGAAACAAATATATACATTGAAAGAATTGCTTCACATGAAAAAAAACTGTTCTTATTAGACTACTCATATTCACTATCTGAAAACTGTTCAAAATCAGTTATGCTGAAACAGTCTTGGAAATCAAGTCATCATCAAATTAAGAACAGAAAGGTTAACTGTTATAGCAGCAGTACAGGTCTGAAACAGTGGCCATGTATAAAAGGAAATTTCACTGTTAATGCAATGAAGTATGCCAAAAGATCACTGTATAAACATGCAGTTTTTAATCAAACACAGAAGGAAAAAAATGAAGATATCAGGATCACTTATGCTGAAACAGCCAAATACAATAAATGGAAAAGATCCTCCAATCTATCACTATACTGCAAGGGGGAAAAAACATGCCAGTGTTTAAAAACTCAGTATTTTATGGGGAAAGCTTATATATTTGTGTATATGTTTCTTAATTTATAATTGCTAAGAAATTATGAATCCTTTAAAATACCCACATATCCAACTTACCGACACAGGAGGTTTCATATCATTTATTGTAAAGCACAAAACAGGCATTTTAAAAGTGAAAGTATACATTGAAAAAGTACATTTATATCACAAAGCATTGACCACATAATAATTGCAAATACATTTGCTGGAATGTGTACATCTACACTAAATACTAAAAACAAACCAATTTTCATTTCTACACAGAAATATCAACCTCCTATCAGTAGTGATAGATATTTTGTACATTTTCAAAAAAAAAAAAGCAAAAAAACCAAAAAAACAAAAACAAAAAAACAAAACAAAAAAACCACTATTTTAAACCAAAACCAAAATTAAGATCTTCATCAAGTCGTCTGCATCCATATACTTAACAAAGGTTTTTTTCCCCCACACAATGAAGCAAATACTGTATTGTCCACTTCTTATTATTGGCCCTGTGCAGAAGAGATACATAAGAAATACACAAAAAGTTAAAGAAAATCCTTTAAATGGAGCTAATTCAGGAGTGAATCCTTTAAGAAAGAAAAACTGGTTAATACAAATGGTGGTGGCTTCTTGCATGATTTGCAAATCCCTGGGGGAAGAAAATTTATTTTAAAAATCAAAGGCATTGTAGAAATATTTAGCATTCAGATGCCAGAAAGCATTATACAAACAAACAAACAAACTCAAACAATATACCACAATACTTCATTTAGATACTTATACTTTGCCAGATAAAAATTAAAAAGGCAAACCTACTCTCAAAGAGACAAACATGCAGGAAACATGACGAGTGGAAATCAACAAATTAGCAAATTTATTATACCTGAGGTGCTGGAGGATGCTGTGGCATTCCCTGGGGACTTGTTTGGGCATAGTAGGCTGCTTGTTGTCTATAGTACTCAGCCCAGGCTGCACTATAATCTGGCTGACCTCCTGGTGGAGCCCCAGTAGGAGCAGGAACTGCTTGCCCTTTGAGAAAACAGAACTTTGTTACTGTAACCACAATTAAAAGCCCCAAAGAATCTCATTTCTAATAAAAACAATACCTTGCTTCTTGTAATATTCCTCCCAAGCCTTTGAATAATCTTGTGTCTGCCCTTGTTGACCTAAAAAAAACCCCCTATATTTTAATATAAAATTACATGCACTATAAGTACAGGTTATAAAGACAAAAGCACAGAGGGTTCACAATTGCTCCTGTTTAAAGTATGGGTTAGTGTCAGAAAACTACCCCCCCCCCCAAAAAAAACCCCAAAACCCCAAAACTATTTTCTTTTTGCCTTATTTGAATTGTAAATCTTAGGCACTATAAGTACAGGTTATAAAGACAAAAGCACAGAGGGTTCACAATTGCTCCTGTTTAAAGTATGGGTTAGTGTCAGAAAACTACCCCCCCCCCAAAAAAAAACCCCAAAACCCCAAAACTATTTTCTTTTTGCCTTATTTGAATTGTAAATCTTAGTTCTAGAGCATCACTATTAATAAAAAACAAAACCTCCAGGGCATATTGGGTGCTATAGGCTTAAACAAAGCAAAATGAAGCAAACAACAACAACAAAAAAACAAGCCAAGATCCATGTAGCTTTTTAACTAAGTAAGGTAAAGATTTAGGCATTTGACTCAATTCCATATTTAATAAACTGTTATTGTTCTAAATAAATTTGGAAAGTGCTTCAAGTAAGTAATCTGTAAACCTAGATGGTTCCCTGGCAGTGATGATGAACAGAGGGTGTGAGGGGGAAAAACCTACTATTTTTTTGTTCTCTCATCCACTTTGATCAATCTGCTATACTATAAGTTTTAAAGAAAATGCAAGTCCTCAATGGACAACTACAAAAAGAACATTTTTGAAAAACAAAAAACCTATTTAAAGGCCATGATTTAAAGACTTAATTTATTACTTTAAAACCTGGCCAAGATTTTTCCTGATTATTGATCTATAAACTATGTGTACAAGACTAGTCTTCAAGATACACTTTAATGAGATTTAAAATTTTAATAAAATGTATTGAAATTACAACGCAATTTGATTAAAAATAACCTGATGAAGGACATAAAGAAGAGTATTAATGAAACACAAAATTCAGTTTTCATAAGCAGGTCTTTTTCTACGCAGGCTGACTTTTCTGAATTAAGAGACTAAAGAAATATTACAACCAAATGCAATGCATGAACCTTGTATGGGCTCTTAACTAAAACAAATCAAAACACACAAATAACTAAAAAAGACATTTTTCTGACAACTAGAGATATTTAAATATGGTCTATACGTTGATAATATTATTGAGTATATTTAGAGCAAATGGTCTGCAATCTACTTTAAAATGGTTCATGCGCAAAAAACATACATACACACAAAGCACATACGGCAAACTTTTAAAAAATGGTGAAATTGGGTGTTCCCTGTACTATTTTTCCAATTTTCTGAAGGTATAAAAATTTTCAAAATAAAAAATTGAGGAGAAAAGAGGACATGTGTTTTCCTATCCATTCCTCTACTTCAGCACTATTTTATTTTATAATTCATTTTGCTTTATAAAATAATTATTATAGACAAAAAAGAAAATAATAATAATAATAGAGCACAGGCACACAGGAAGCTGTTTTTTTTGTTTGTTGGATTTTGCCAACAAGGCAACTTTGTAGTTTCAGAAAGTAGTCTATCACCACTGTAAAACTGGCCACAGAATAAAAACAACTGAGTGAATAAAAATTTAAGACTCATGACTATTAACTTTAAATATGCATGAAAAAAACCCTCTCTTTTTGGGCAACAACAGAGAAGTCTCAAAAACTACTTAAAAAAATTCTCATATTTCTGTCTTCCACAAATAACTCTTTTCAAAGGGGAAGTGGGAAGTGAGTTGAACATTTTGATTTTATTAGGAGACACAATTCAAGCAAATCTGAAAGCATGTTTTAATATTTAGAAAACTGCCAAATACCCCAATAGTAATAAAACCACACAATGTTTCCTACAAACTACACACTCAAAACCAAAACCTGGCTAAGGTAGCAATAACTTCCACCTCGGGTTTACAAAATGAACTAGATTTCATTGTAAGATACACATTTTAGAGGCAAAATAACAATATAAGATGGTAGAAACAGGCAGACACATCAAGAAAATTCATCAGACTCAGATGTTCCCGAAAAAACCTTAAACACCCAAATTCAAATATCCCTGTGGAAAGCTAAAAGTAAACACACTCTAAGGAAAACACACACTTGGTAAATAAGTTGTCAACATCTGACATTCCAATCTTAAAAGATGTACATGAAAAACTCATCCTATTCTTCTAATCTGAAGGGCAAATGTGATTCATTTTGCCTGGCTGGAAGCAGAGAAAGAACTCTTCCTATCTTATCTACTTAAGACTTGGCTCTCTTCCTTGGCCTACTGTACCCCCCTACCCCTTTTATGTATGTACTTCCTTATCTTGTTCCTCTTATTTCTCTCTTTGGTTACTGTTTTGATGCCAGATAGTTTAGCCTACACTTCAGTAGAAAATTACCTATTATTTATATACAGTTCTACAATGCATGAAGTTTTCTTTTATTTCATGTCATCCAAAAGATAAAAGACTTGCCCCAGAAGTCACTTGTAACATTCTTTATCAACCCAAGAGCCAGCCTTGCCTGAATAGATTCACACTTAGGTATCTCTCTATACACCTGCGTATTTCCGACAACTCCCCACTCTACGTAAGGTAACAGCTGCTAAAAGGCTGAGTCCATTATACTGCTTAACATTATGAGAGCGTTCCTTAAGTCAAACTTCTGCCAAAATGTCTTCACTTACCCTCCTCCAATCAAGAACTACCTTTCTTGACTCTGAAACCCTGTTTGTTCTGTTTATTCCAGCTTCAAAAATACCTCCAGAATGTTGCCATTCCATGTATAACAACCTTTTTAACCTCTAGAATTTTATTTTTAAGAATTTCTCTCCTGAATTCTCTTACTGTTACCCAAGGACATTCATAATTGTTTCAAAAAACAAAACTAATTTTGAAAACTCACGTTTCAATAGAGATTTATTTACAAATAAGCAAATAATGACAAATTTATAGACTGTTAGTGTGGTTTTCTGTTCTTAACAGAAAAAGATGAAATTAGGCTTCAAAAGCTGTGACAGCCTGCTTAGTTTGGTGAAGAGGGCACTGGATGGGGAATCGGGGAATCAGGAAATCCAGAATCCTAGGAAATCCTAGCCCTGCCACTTGAAGAGTCAATAAAGGAGCTGGCTTTGGCGATAAAGCTCTTACCTATTTTATTGCTCCTTTTCCCCCCTCCATCTAAGAAAATTCAGTACTGAACTATACCAGTTTTATGCTTTAACGTCTCTTATTTGTGGTTATACTAAAAGAGATCCTGAGGACAAGTAATATACCTAGAACAAATTAGAGCAGTTAAGCAACTAATCATTTACAAAAAGAACTTTTTTTTTTCCTTTCTGTCTTTTTTTATGACCGGCAACGGGTTCACAACCCTCGGTGTCGCGCCCGCACCGCGCTCAACCAGTGAGCGGACCGGTCCCTACATGGGATCCGAACCCTCGGCGGGAGCGCCACCACACTCCCAAGCGCGGCACTACCGAGTGCGCCACCGGGCCGGCCCTTACAAAAAGAACTTTTAAAGGAAAAGATAAACGAACCTTGTAGCTATCACACTATGAAAAATGCTCATTAAGGGGCGGGGGATGGGGGGATAGGGAGTAATTGGGTAAGGGACACAAAAAGTAATTATGATCTGTAATGATGAACATGCTAGTAATATTGATTTGATCATCACATAATGTACATAAATTATCAACTCTGTACCCCATAAATACGTATAAACAGAAAAAAAAGAAAGAAAAATGCTCATTAAACACCTAAATTACCTAGCATTATTTCTTTTTAAGATTTACGTATGAGAGGAAATTGCTAAACTGGTGCACTTTGCTCATAAAATTAACAGGTGATTATTGTAGTACTAAAGAAAAACACACAGAAAAGGTGGTGGGGAGTCTCCAAACAGTGTTATTTAAGTTATCTCTATACCATCTTTTCACACAAAGGATTCATGACAGTCCAGCATAGTATCTCTAAAATTCGAATTTTAGAGAATAGGTGGCAGGGAAATGGTGGAAACTGAAAATTACCACAAAGGCAAAATGAAATGTCTACTCCTAACAATAAAAATTAGAATTCAATACACCCACTCTTTTTGGGCAAGTAAAATGTAAAAAGGCTAAATAGTAAACTTATTAATGGCCATGTGGCAAAGAAACAATAAGATATAATAAAGCACAAAAGCCAAACTCATTCCCCAGTAATTTCCTAAGTCCATTAACAGGCCTTTGTTTTTACCCACTAAATAATAACGTAGGGAACATGTCTGGCACATTACTCTTTACGAAAATACAAGTTGCAGCTAATGGATAACTAAACTCAACATACTTGATTCTTTTAAAATGGTGATGCTACTTCATTAACATTAAGGTGACTATAGGTCCCCACCACTATGTTGTCAGGGTGTGATTATTTATACCAGCCTCATTCATTCTCAAAAGTATACCAGTTTAGACAATAAAGGATATGGTCATCCTAACTAAGAGTACATTGCTTTGAGGTTTAAAATTAAGTTTCTTTTTGCAGTATTTTAGCTGTTGTAGATCTGCCTGAGATAAACTAGGTCACAAAGACATAACTTCATCAATCTGTTACAGCTTCAGGAATAAGATGCAGCATGACTCTCCTAGAAAAGTCATTCTAACAGGAAAAAATACTTTTTTCTTTCTTTAAATCAGAAATCAACTGTATAGAATATCGCTATCACCAGGTACATGTACTTTTACACACAAAAAGATGAATATTATCACCCTTCTAGAAATCTTTCTTTCTGAAGAAAATGAGAAACAGCCTTTGGGAAAAAAATGTACAGAAATTTAAATTGAGAACCCTAAGTAGACTATATCTTATGACAAAACTCTACTATCTACAGATTTTTTTCTGTGCCAGTGAAGGATGGGTAAGTTTACCTGTTTAGCTTTCATCTGTGATGACTGGCTGTGGTGTTCATTTTATTTTTTGGTGGCAGGCCAGTACAGGGATTGAACCCTGGACCTTGGTGTTATTAGCATCACACTCTAATCAACTAAGCTAATTGGCTGGCCCCAAGAGTTAATTTTAAATGACTAAGACCAAAAGCATCTGAAAAATAACTATTTGTCTAGAAGTATAATGTCAGGTTCCAAATGCTCCCTTAGAAAAAAACAAATTTGGGAGGAAGGCTTGACTCAGACCCTCTTAGAAGTCAAATTCTGGTTTCACCACTTAGTTGTGTTACCTGTTTCCCAGTCTCTACATGTGAAATGCCAATAAAGATACAGTTCTTTTCCTTCACAGCAGTTTATAGTAATATATTCACAAGTTATTTAACAACTGTACCCTCCATTAGCATATAATAACCAGAAGGGCAGGGCTCCTGGCTGTTGTAATTGCATTCTCACCATCTGTCACTTCTCACGCAGCATGTTGTATGTGCTCTATAGTTGCTGAATGGACACGGCTTTTCTAAGTGATTGTTTTTCCTTTTGCATGTATACAAATGTTATTTAATTCACTTCCTCTGTCACTGTAAATTATTCTTACGTACTTATTGTGTAGTAAAAATGATGAAACCATACAAAACCAAGTATTGCTTTGCACTCTAAAATTTAACATTATGCCATTTAGGCTAGTAATATACATGAACTGTCTTTGAAAAAAGTGTAGTAATATTCAATGTCATATGTGCCAATGAAGAAATTTCTAGTTTCACCTAATAATTGGCTGACAAATGCATTCAGAAATAGAAAGATTTGTTACAAAACCACAAATTAAAGTATTATTTGTGATGGTCTTGACATGTCTGAAAGTTGTGATTTCAGAATGCATTTTTGCTCAATTATTCTCCTTAAGATTTTAAAAGTTAATAACTGAATGAAAGTCATCTAAGGTAACCAAAATATGCCACAAATATGCTTTTATCAAAGCATTCAACATTCTAATGTATATTTACTAAGTGTTCCAATTTAATTACATATATATATATATTTAAAATGTACAACATACCCATTTTCTTGTAGTACTCTTCCCAAGCCTTGGTATAATCAACCTGTCCAGCTGGAGCTGGATTCTGCTGATCTCCTTGTTCAAGAAAAAGAACAAAACAGGATTAAAGATTTTAAAAGGCAATTTTGGGCTTTTCCTTCTGTTCCTCGAGTCAAGGAGTTGTCAGTGACATGCCATGGGGCAGTAAAGGTAGAAGGGAGGTGCTGTGCAGTATTAGTTTTCCTGTTGAAGCCAAAGACCCAGGACACTGGGGGTACAGAGTTGGCAGACAGAGAAGATGACCAACGTGTTTGGAAGACTGGTTATACTGTGAATATATGAGGGTACTTGAAAAAGTTCACGGAAAAGGGGCTGACTGGTTAGCTCAGTTGATTAAAGCTCAGTGTTTTAACACCAAGGTCAAGAGTTTGAATCCCTTAATGGCCAGTGACCCCCGCCCCTCAGCCAAAAAAAAAAAAGGCTCATGTAAAGATTTTTATTATCTTTTAATTCTAGTCTTCCATGAACTTTTTGAAGATCCTTGCAAGTAAACTGATGTCAAATAAGGAAATACATTAAGGATACTGAGTTTCCCACCTTTCATTAAGTACAGAAAAGGAAAAAGCTAGAAAGAGTGTTGGAACGGAATTGCAGGTTATATGAACATAAAGCTTTAAAATACATATACAGATATGAACGTTTATTTGTTTTTATATATGTGCATGTAGGTATGGGTTTATGTAAACAGATTTCCTAGCTCTGTCCACTAAAAGGAGTTAGAAGCAATGACACCTCATTAGCAAAGAGTATACTTAGTTTATTTCCAAAGACCATCCTCTACTAAAAGGAATCAGGGCTCCTTGAGAAAATGGCTAACTCAAAGGCTGAAGCCTAGAGAAAACACAAAAAATCTTATTGTGCCAAATAGTAAGGAAGTGCTTAAAGAACAACAGGCATTTCAAAGGATACAGGAGCTACCATGAAGATACTCCTGGCTAGCTAAATCCAGTACAATATCGTTATAAAAATAATAATAGTTAAAAATACAATCTATAGGACCGGCCCCATGGCTCACTTGGGAGAGTGCGGTGCTGATAGTGCCGAGGCCGTGGGTTTGGATCCTATATAGGGATGGCCGGTGTGCTCACTGGCTCAGCGTGGTGCGGACGACACTGAGCCAAGGGTTGTGATCCCTTTACCGGTCAGAAAAAAAAAAAAAAAAAAAAAAAAATACAACCTATAGAATTAAACAGGAATCCACACTGACGTGAAGAACTAAATAGGATGAAAAGGAAAGCTTTTTCTTACAGTAAAATACCAACTTCTATACAATGATGGGGGGGAAACAAACAAAAACAATGAAGGGTAATGGGACATCATGCCCACAGTTTAGTCTTAAATGGCTTATCCTTTCCATTCCAGCCTTATCTCCTTCTTCTCTTCCGAACTAATGATAATAACGGATATGGACACACACATACAGGGGTACTTCAAAAAATTCACAGATTCATATCACCATTTACTTTTACTTTTCTATGAACTTTCTGAAGTACACTGTTATATGACAGAAAGGGTAATAAAGTAAATGGGTAGATAAAAGTAACAGCTGAGTTTTCTCAGTGTTCTTGGTATTCTTACAACTTTTATGAAAGTTTAGAATTATTTCAAAGTCATTTACTTAAAAAAAAAAAAAAAAAAAGGAAATTCTGCTCACTAAAGTTCTAATTGAATAATGTTAGAAATTTTAGGTACTAGAATACAGTGACGCACTTCTTAGCTTTCTCGTACAAAATAGATTAGTTACCAGTTACCTTGTCCATTAGTTTGGGTTGTAGTTGGTGCACCTGCAGGAGCTGCAGGTGGTGGCTGTGCTTGCTGTTGATAATAGTGAGCATAATAAGCAGCCCAAGCTGCTGAATTTGGATCCGTTCCTGCCTTTGCTAGAATTAATAAACACAAGTTCAAGGTTTGCATCTGATGTCCACAGTCTCTCTCTCTCTCACACACACACACACAAAATCACACAGCTCTCTCGCAAATACACAGGCCAAAAAATTAAAGACATCAAAAACAGCAGTAAATGAAAACTTTCATATTTTCTATTACTTTCACTGTCATCCTTAGCTTTTATTATGTAAAACTGAGGATCAGAGATTAAGTGGCTTTCCTGGGTTACAAAACTAGGTAACTGGTAACTAGGTAAGTGGTAGAACTAGGATATGAATAATCTTTTGGCTTCAAATCCTATGCTTTGTCTCAAACCACCCTGTGCCATTGTTTTTTCTAAAACAGTTTTGTCTCAAGCACAACTGTTTTATGTGGCAGATGACTAAAGATTTCTAGGGGTTAACCTATACAAGAAACAAACAATATCTTGTAACTATTAACTTTGTCTTATGTTGTTTTCAATGAAGAAACAAAATAAAAATCTTAGAAAATAGAGATTAGTCACATTTCATTTCATCCTATTTCACATTGAATCCCCCAGCTTATCTTTTCCATTCTAGACTTACCTTTCCCTTCTGTCAATATCCCTCCAATACTCAAGTTCCAGTCACAATAAATTGCTTGTTCTTTTCAGAAGTCACTAGGCTCATGCCTAAGCCTTTGATCATGTTATGCTTGCTCTGCACTTGGGTTCACCCTCACTCATCCCTCATTAATCAAATGATGTTTGAACAGTTTGAGACCTCTCAGTCAAAAACCAGAACCTCTCTCACTGATTGTCCTTTATACTATGAATATTATACAACGCTATACATATATCTTTATTAGTTTGTATCCCCAAGAAGAAAGTATATCTATATGAAATCTGTTTAGATTCATCCCAAGTAAGTATCAAGTCTTGGCTGCCTAATACAGGTTAGTGAAGTTTAAAAAAAAAAGGAGCAAGGATTTCTAGAAAAAGAAAATTGTATGGTGATACAATTATAAAGTGGTATTAGGCCACCCTCCAAACCCTTTTCAACTGCTTAATGTACTGCTTTTATATGCTGAATATTTGTGTCTTAATAGTATCATTATCCAAATACTACCTAATAAATGCAAATATTCCACCTGACACAATGTATAAAAAAACTGAGATTTGAAAACAGACTTTAGTGAGCAATACTTGTACTCCCAAATGTGTTAACCATATAAGAAAATCAGTCTCACAGTCACACAGAATTAATATGCACTAGTAACTTACTAGTCATTCAATATAATATTCATTCATTCATTTATCACTATTTTATAGATAAGAAAGCTTATCGGGGTTTAAAAACTTGCTTGACATCCCACAATTAGTTAAGTTGTTGGACTAACCTAGGTCTGTTTGACTCTGAAGTCTAAATTCCTGACCACTACATAAATCTGTAATAAACCATTAATTTTTTTATAGAAACAGATTTTAGTTCAGAGAATGACAACCACCCACCCATACCCACCCCCACACACACCATAACTGTAAGTCTAATATAAACAATATCTAATTGAGAGACTTGGTAACACTTTGATAAAGTCTAAGCTGGGCCACCTAGTTGAAATCTTTAGCTAAATAGGTTACTTCTCTCCCAAAAAGCAATGCTGGAAGCCACATTCACTGACAGTTCCTACAGTGGTGAGTTCACTATTACTCCAACTGGGAAACTGAGATTGTGATACAGAGACCACTCCTTATTCCCATCATTTCTCTCAATCATGCTACCTACCCCCAAACAGTGCTCTACAGGTGTAATTCTGGCATTTCTAAGTTATCCAATATAAACCCGCCCCTAAATCTGCTCTAACTCTTGAATCTCATTCCTCTGCATACTCATACTATCCCTTACAAGAGAGAAAGAAAAGTCGTTTTAGATCAACATACAGTAAATAGTAATTGACACTCCTGTACCCTGTGAGCCCTTCTAACACAGTATTGCTCACGCTGGGAGTGCATTCTTCTGCAATAGAACGTAAACTCATCTTTGCATACCCACATCCTAGCACAACTTAAATTGTTTCTTGAATGAATGAACGCTGTGGGTATTTGGTGACTGTTATGTTGCGTCATCACATTCCAAAGAGCATACTTCCTATGAAATTAAAGTATGTTATAATATATAGCCACATTTGAATACCAGAATGTTCAATCAAATTCAATAAAATGATTTTATCTAAATCAATTACTTTCAGGTTTTTTTGGATAAATATACTATGTGTAGAAAGAAATCCATAATTCAGTATACCTTCCTTGAAACTACTCCAGGGAAAGAGGGCTAAAAGGTAGGTAGCAGGTGAGGAAAAAAGGATCATAAATAAGAGTTAACTGGTTTCAAAGAATGCCTCTTTGACAAAGATGAAAAGAAAACTACAGGGTATGGGAAGATGAAGAATAGAAAAATCCAGATCCAAATAGAGAATGTATTTAATTACATGTATTTTAGAGTTCTACATGCAGTTATTAAGTACAGGCCTAATTTTTACTAATATTAGAGTTGCCTTATCAGGAGTAGGAGAACAGACAACTTTTATCTGAGAACTTGGGATTTTTACGCCCAAGTATTTAACACGCTATTAGACTCTCATGTAATTTTATAAATAAATGTAAACTAGCTATTTTTTCGTGGATAATGTCAGCATGAACACATTAGACATTTGACAGCACTGGTATCTAAAACCTAAGATATTGTACTTTTTCCTGTAGTGTTTGGCTTTTGATACAGTACTCTGCTGTATTAATTCACAAAGCAGAAAAAGCCAAATAGAAAAAAGTTCCACAAAAGCAGAGATCAAATTCACGTCAATGTGCTAGATGAAGTGCTTAACACTCTGCTGAAAGAATAAAATGAGTGGAGACATTTCATACAAATGTAGAATGCTAGAAAAACTTAAATGTAACAGGAGCGGTAAACAAACAATACAGGTAAACACACAATTAGAAGAGAAGCATCTTTTACCTGGATCAGGAGGAGCCTGCTGCTGCCAGTGTGGATATGCATTTCCCCACCCCTGGGGAGCATATGGGGCTGGAGGACCACTGAAAAGAAGTCAATATAAAAATACAATTTACAAAAGCTAGAATCTTTGGGGAAAAGCACAAAACCAAACTCAATACTTACTGAGGAGCTGGGCCAGGTGGTCCAGGATTATAAGGTGCAGGGTTGTATGGTCCCATTGGAGTTCCAGGCCCTGGAGGCCCAGGAGGCCCATGGGGGCCTGGCACACCATGGGGCCCATGGGGTACAGGTGGCCCTAAAGGATTTACTGGACCCTGCAAAAAAAGGGAAGAATATATACAAAAATCAGAAACACAGGGTAATAATCAAATAACTCAAAGGCCAAATAATCTTCCATTTCTACTTTCTTAAAGTAACAAGCAACAAATTTTAGATTTTCTTCCCTTTCCTCATTTACGTTGTAAAAACTATTCTTTTTTTTTTTTCGTGTCCAGCAATGGATCGCAACCCTCAGTGTCGCGCCCGTACCGGACCGGGACCGGCAACGGGATCGCAACCCTCGGTGTTGCTCCCGCACCTCGCTCAGCCAGTGAGCGGGAACCGGTCCGTATGTGGGATCCGAACCCTCAGCGGGAGCGCCACCTCACTCCCAAGCGGTGCACTGTAGCAGTGCGCCACCGGGCCAGCCCGTAAAAACTATTCTAACTCTGCCAAATAAATGAGACAAGTAAAATTCATTAAAATCAACAGCATTAACAATTGAATGCAAAAATTAATACACTTCCTTTAGCTTCTATTATTTTCGGACAGCACCATTTCCTTTTCCAATTCTTACTTTTCTATCCTTTTGTCGTTTGAATCATGGAAACCTATCAGGTATCAGGTGTTCATCCCCAGCTCTTCCCTCTCTGCATCTATTCTATCACCAGACAACCATATTGACAATACATTCCCCAAATTGCTTAGGTCCTATATTGTGTGAACTGTCTACTAAACACTTCATCTATAATATAACACCTACTTCTCTCTTGAAGTTTGCCTCACAACTTTTATATTTCTGTAATTGGATCCCTATTTAGAGCAATAATTTAAATTAACATCCTCCTTTTGCCTTTTATCTATCATAATCTTTGAAATAGGATCAAAATTCCCTCATAATTCATTTAATAACTCAGGGTGTTTCATATCCTTATGCCACATTACAATCAATAATGACTAGCTGATTTCTCTTGATAAGCCAACTTGAAAAGACTATTAGACTTAATTGTCCAAAAACACTCCTTTATGCAGTTATTACCAACCATGTGACATTTTGGACAAAATGCTAAAACTATACTTGGTTGTCAATTTACTCACTACAAAATAAGCAAAACTTCATGACCTTTAAAGCCGCTTTTATTAACTTGTCTCTTTCAGTCTCCAATTGCTGTCATCCCTCACTTTTATTATCTATGACCTATTCTCTCCAAATAATAAAAATTCTACAAAGCAGGTACTATTATCTTCATTCTACAGAAGGAAACTGAATCACAGAAGAGTATAAATAAATTTTCTGAAGTTGCACAGTCAGTAAGAATTCACAGGATTTTGAACCCAGGAAGCCTGACTCCAGAGTACATGCAATTAAGCACTATACAAAATTGCCTTTCTAAAACAACCTGTCTTGTTTCTCCATGAACCCAACAGAAACCCTAATCCATACAGGATAGGCTAATAAATAAAAAAACCAAGATGTGCTTTATAAAATTAGATGGTGGGATCTATGTGTATATTATGTGTAGTGGTGGGAAGCACTTGAAAAGTATGCATTTTAAAACCCCTAGACAATTATGAGCCAATCCAAAGCTGGGATTTATAAATTTCTACTGCAGAGTGGGGGGTCCATCTGATTCATCTTTTTTTTGCCTCACCAGCGTTGGGTATAGTAAAAACTTAATAAATAACAAATTCCTATAACTAAATTCCTATAACTATTTCCATTCAAATAAATTCCACAATCCTCCACCAACACTAACATTATGTCTATAGGTAACACTACCTCTTTTATCTACCCACACCTAAGTGTAAGGTGGTTCTGAACACCTGTATCTGCATATTTAAATAGGTTATTTTTATTGCTGTAAAAATCTTTTCTATGCTTTATATATCCACTATGTCATGAAACCTGTAATTTCGGATAAAAATCATACATTTTCCTGTGGTGCATCAGAATTAATGGCTTCTTCAACTAACAGGGTCTATGCTATAAAACAAATTTTAAAGCATACTCACACCAATCTTTTCTTCTATGAGCTGCCGAGCATAGTCTATTTGCTGTGGAGTGCCACGAATTGTAAATAACTTCATATTAGGATCTGCATTAGGTGGAGGATTTCTCTGAAGTTCTATTCTTGCACCAGACTGCTGACTTATACTTTTAATGGTTTCACCTCCTAAAATCAAACAAGAGAAATTTGTCTAAAGGCTCAAAGGACGTAAAAAGGGCTACTCAAAGGAATACTGGTCAGTTAAAAGGACCATTAAAAAAAAGTTTTGGACAGTATCCTATCTCACAATATTCTATTATTATTTCCCATTTATTCTACACTTTAAATCAAACTGTATTAAGCATTTCATGCTTAAAACACATTTACATTTACTTAGTATGTTTACACACAACCTTAATGTGGATTATAACTTATCAAAATAATTGGTTCAAATAAACTACTCTTGTAGCAATGTAAATACAACCTATCACATACTCAAATTTTAAAAAAATGAACAAACAAAAACACTCAAAACATTTTATGGATGAAAAGAAGCTTTTCATGCTATTAACTCTTGGTCCTCTTTCTGTAGAAGCCAATGAGATTCAAACTCTGCTCTTTTTGTAAGTATATGTGAGATCCTTCATTAATGTTTGTTGTTACATATCAAAATAAGAATGCTTTTCTACTAAAATGCAGCCAAAGAAAAATCAATGCCACTTGTTTACAACAACAGAAATAGCATCCAGAAAAATTAAGTAATAGGTTACACATTAAGAGTTTAAAATACATTGCCTTTTCCTATTATTAATCCAGTTTTCCCAGTTGGCACAATGAAATTAAATTCCTGTAGTCCACCAGGTGGTCCCATGTTCCAGCTGCCTTGACCTCTACCTCTTCCTCGACCACCAGGTCCAGGGCCACCAGGATTACCAGCCTAAGGTGGGGTAGACAAGAAAGAAAGCATAGAAATAAACTCTTCTTTCCACAATAAATTATGTCTATTTTTCCCAACTCTCATATTCCTGAGCCAGAAATTTAGAGATTACTTCAGAGATGACATGGCTCAAATAATTAGTAATACCAGCATTTTTTTTTGGAAAACACTGGGGTGAACAGGTAGAGCAGTACTTTTTCCTATTCCAAGATGTCTACCTTAAAGCAATTTAAACTTTCCAGCCATTAATATAACATTATCATGCAGACTCTGATATAAAAATATGAGGGGGGACTTTCAGATTTGATGAAGGAAAATATTTTCCCAATGAGCACAAAAATAAAAATGTTAACTTCCTATCAAACCTGAACACTTCGAAGAAGGTCTGTAATAATTTCTGCAGCATGCTGACATCGGTCTGGAGGTCCTGTTATTTGTGCAATTCTATCAGGTGTCGTTCCATCATCTTCAAAACAAAAGAATTAAATTGGATTAATTAAACATTAAATGTGTGCATGTCAAAACAAATTGCTACCAACAATTAAATATATGTACTCACCTGGCTTAAACTGAATTCGAACGCCAGCATCATTTTGTATTTTTTTGATCATTTCTCCATTTCTTCCTATTACAATGCCAACAGCAAATCTTGGAATGGGGACCTTACGCAAAAAGACTAAGTATTAAGAATGCCATTTCATAAAATTAATTTGCATAAAATCATAAAAGTGTATATAATGCTATGTTTTTATTAAATAGGGTAACAAGATACAAAATACACAATTCTGTATTTTAACATAGAAAGTAAAACAGAAAAAACTGCAAAAAGACTAAGTATTAAGAATGCCATTTCATAAAATTAATTTGCATAAAATCATAAAAGTGTATATAATGCTATGTTTTTATTAAATCGGGTAACAAGATACAAAATACACAATTCTGTATTTTAACATAGAAAGTAAAACAGAAAAAACACTATTATGTTTGTGGATTGGTAAGCAACCTTTTCTGGATGGGTATTTTTACTTACATCTATCCCTTCGTTTCCTCCTATCCTTGACCCATACTCATTTCGAACTTCTCTGAAACCACCTTGATCACGAATTAACTCTAACACCATTTCCTTGGCTTGCTGAAGCAGAAAAAGTCAGCCAATTTAGAAAGCATGTTTCAAAACATTTCAATTATTCATACATGTTCTACTCAATTCCACCCAACCCCAACTCCTTCCAACTGTCATCCTTCCCCAACTCCTTATAAAGTATAAAGTTAGGTTTACTTGAACTTTGTAAGGGTCTCCTGTAATCCTAAGAGGTTTGTCAGCACCAGTGTTCTGAGGCCCATCTTGAATCATAACCATTTTAACTCCAGCCCGCTCCTGTTATAATCACAGAAATCATATGTATTAATAAAAGGGACGTGTGGAAGAGAACTAGCTTCAAAACAGAGTAAAAGTAATAATAACACAACAATACCTGAAGTTGTTTAATAGTCTCTCCCCCCTTTCCAATAACTAATCCTGCCTTGCTAGCTGGAATCATGATTTCTTGAACTGCATTTCCTGGTCCATCACCATGATGGAAGCCAGGGGCTGGTCTTCCTTTTTCAACAATCTGGTCCAGTAACCGTTTTGCTGATCTGTTAACGAATTATGATTCAAAAAATAAGGAGCAGCATATCCAAACTTGCTCAAATAGAGACATATAAAAAAATATAATTAAGTACTCCTATCTCAATTCAGAATCAGGTGCCTTAAATCTAATTTTAACAATGCTTTTACTTTTAACTAAAAGAAAATGCCATCAAGATTCAAAGACTGAGACTATGCAATAAATTTTCTAGGCATACAATTTTTATTTTTGAGAATAATCCGAAATTTCCAAGAAGGAACACTCTAATTCTAAAGCTATCTTGAAATTAAGCTGATTCCTCCAAGAATTAAAAGATTTATTTATATTTTTAAACCACCACTTTTGCTCACTCATGTTAAAATTTACTCATTCATTCAATAAATATTTAAGAAATGTCAACTATGTGCCACGTATTATTCTAGGTAATGGGGTTACAGCACTGAACAAAACAGGGTTTCTACTGCAGTGGCTTAAGTTTATTAAAAAAAAAAAAAAAAAAAAAGGGCCGGCCCAGTGGCGCACTGGATAGTGTGCCGCTTGGGAAGCAAGGGATTGCTGTTAAGAGAGTAATGGAAGAGGGCCGGCCCAGTGGCGCACTGGATAGTGTGCCGCTTGGGAAGCATGGCGGCGCTCCCGCCCGAGGGTTCGGATCCCACATACAGACCGGTTCCCGCTCACTGGCTGAGCGAGGCACGGGAGCAACACCGAGGGTTGCAATTCCGTTGCCGGTCCCCGGTCCGGTACGGGGGCAACACTGAGGGTTGCGATCCGTTGCCGGACACGGAAAAAAAGACAAAAAAAAAAAAAAAAAACATCATGTAAAATAAACAGTATGTCATTTGATTTGTGCTATAAAGAACATCACAGCAGGATATTAACAGAATGTGCATGCACATTCACATGCACACACAATCTGTTAATATCCTGCTCTGATGTTCTTTACAGCATGAATCAAATGACATACTATTTATCTGACATATTTTAATCATGGGAGGTCTTACTGATAAGAGCTATTTGAACCAAAATCTCAAAGAAGTGGGAGAATGACTATGAAAATACTTTGGGGAAAATGTTACAGGGACAACAGAAAGTACAAAGGACTCAAACAAGGAGAATACATGGATTGCTGAAAGACTAGAAACAAGGCTAAATGGGGCTAGAGTAACATGAGTTGATGGAAGAATGGTAAAAAATGAAGTGAGAAAGGCAGCAGGCAGGCCAGGCCAGTAAAAAGATATTGACTTTTACTCTAAAACAAACAAGAAAACATTAGAGGATTTGAGCAAAGTTGTGATATGAAGTAATTTACATTTAAAAGGATCACTATGGCTAGACCACCACAAGAATAAACTTATGGAACAAGGTGAAATGAATGTAGACAGGTTGAATAATATAGGCAAATGGTGTCATGGACTAAGGTATAGTGAAAAACATGGCAAGAGGAGGGTGAATTCTGAATTAATTATAAAAGAAAAATAATCAAGAGGTGCTTACAGATAAATGGGATATAAAAGAAAGATAAAGTATTAAAACAGAGTTGCCATACACTGAGATGAGATGAACAATGAAAAAAAGAAAGAGGAGCTTGGGGATGAGGAAATCAAGGATTCTGTTCTTAATGATCCAAAGTTGGAGATATCAAATAGATATTCATGTGGAGATACTGAGCAAGCTGATAGATGAGTCTAACTTAGGAAGGAGATTAAGACTGAATATAAATATTTAATAAGAGCATATAAAACATATAGTATATAAAGCCATATATTAAATAAAGTTTAATAGATTAAATGAAAGAAGTCATCTAACAAGTATTTGTAGATGTATCGTATAAGGACTGAATTTTGGGGCACTCCATGTTGAGAGGTCAGTAAGATAAAGCAGAACCACCTGGAAAGACTGAGAAAGGATGGCCAGTGAAGTAGGTGTCTGAAAGCCAAATACATGAAGTATTTCAAGGAGGGAGTGAGTGGTCCATTGTGCCAAACACTGCTGACAGGCTGAATAATGTGGTGGCCACTTATGACTTTGCAAAGAGGAATTTCAATGGAATAACTGGAATAAAAGCCTGATTGGTGTGAGTTCAAGAGAAAATAAAAACAGGCAGATGACATGGCAAGTACAACCACCTCTTTTAAGAAATTTTATTGTAGAAAAGAGCAGAAAAATACAATGTGGGGTTCAGGGATGGTTTTCATTAAGATGAGATTTTCAAGCATGTCTGTATGTGGTAAGAAATTATCTAGAAAAGAAGGGAAAACTAATAATGCAGGATATAGTCAGTTCAACTGCAGGGACAATATCCTTCAGTAGGAAGGAAGGGCCGACCTCAGGCACAGGAACAGGAAGGCAGTATGTGAGTACTGTGAGTATTGAGCACAAATGCAGGCTGGTAGGAGAAGGTAGAAAAGTTTCTTATGAGTTGCTTCTATTTTCTCAGTAAATAAGCTTAAGTGGGAGAGATGGGACCCTACTGCTGAAGATTTGGAGATGGAGCAACATAGTATCAAAGAGCCTTGGAGAAGACTGGAAGATGAATGGAACTAGGGAAATGTAGGCAACACAAAAGTCCACTTAAGCTTAATGGTTATGAGTTTTAGGTGTCAACCGTTAACATGATTGTGCATTTTTCTTGAGGCCACATTTGGCTTCTCAAGTAGAGATTAGAGACAAAGTTGGTTTTATGCTAATTGAGAAAGTATGAGTCATAAACTTTGAAGGAGTTAGAGAACGTTCAGGAAAGGGGATATAGAGACAATAGTGTAAACGCAGTAATGAAAAGAAAAGATAAAGTTCAAAGAGTCCCATCTTATTACTATAACTAAACTTTTAAGATTTTCATACTTACTGGACAGATTCAGGTGTTCCAGTTAACATACAAGACCTTTCAGGAAGGCCACCACTGTCTACAGTTAAAAACCAAAACAAAAATTTAAGTCAAGAAGAGATTAACAGATAGCATCACTATCACAAGCAACCTAAAAACGCTAGTTTTCTAGTCACTTTGAAAATATCAAGAGAATAATGTTACCAGGAGCTATCTGTATTTTGCATCCAGATTCCTGTTGTATGCGTGAGATCTGTTCACCTCCTCTGCCAATTACTAGTAAAAATAAAAATTAAAAATAATTATTTTCTGAAAGACCATAAAACATGTTTTAATTATATTTTCAAAACTTTACTATGTTACTTACTAAATCCAACCATTCCATCTGGAACTTTGTATTCTTCTGTCATTACAGACCTGCTAAAAAATAACAAACATTTTCCTTCAAAGAAAGATAATTGTTTACACATAAACAGTAATCTATTAATAAAAATTGAAGTCTAATGTCTCCTAATGGCTGAAACTAAGGTTCTAGGCAAATATTTATGGCCAAAGTATTGCCTTATTACCTGAGTAGTTAAAATAAACATCTTAATTAAGGTGACACACATCAAGTGAGGAAGGGATGGTAAATCAAACAGTGTGAGGGCATGAACTGCAAAGGAGTTGGGGTAGAGTTCAAGGGATGTCATCTTAGTTATTCTAACTCACCCTAGTTCTTCTAAAATGTGGCTAATTCTACTTATCCTTCCAAATTACAAATCTCACTCATACAAAAATGTGTCACCTTACCAAGTGGAGGGAAACTACAACACCAAAAAATACGCAGACACATATTCACTATACACTAACTTCGTTGTCTTTGAACATGTAGCTCAAATAAAACTTGCAAAGTACTTTTTGAAAAGTTATTGACCATACCTTTGCTGCTGATGCATCGGTGGTAACTGTGTTCCAAAGGCTACCAAAAAATTAAATACAAATTAAAATGAAAATTCGAAATTTAAGTTTACTTATATATATTTAACAACATAATCACATCATGCATTCTAAAATCTTTCCCTGATGCACAGACAACTCCTTGGAGAGAGTAAAATTTTATACAGAATACTTAAATCAGTATTGACAGAGGCAAGAAAGCCAATGAAATGGCAGACATGGCATACAGATCAAAATACTTTCCTTTTTCAAGTAGTACAACCATAGATTCAGAATATAACACAAATATGTGAAATAGCTTAACAACTTTATATATACCTAGCCAGAATTAAGTGACAGATTGTAAAAATAGAAGAAAAAAGTATACATTTATTTACAAAGGAATTCAGGCTGGACATTTTGAAAAAATACTCATGGACCAAGTAACTTCAAAAGATGCCCACCAAAACCAGGAACAAAACCGTACTAGAATTCAGTTACATTAATTTTGAACACAGTTTAAAAATAAATACTTACAATCATTTTGAGGAGCAACTTTCTTAGCATCTGGTTGATCTGCAAAATTAAGAGTCTTTTAATTTTTTGCCAATACATACAAAGCCTTCCCCCACTCCCAAGCAAGAATAAACATAATATAAACATTTAGGGTATGGTTTATCATTTAAATCAAAATTGCCAAAACTCAACCCGAACTCTGTAATCTAAAGGAGAGAAACTACATCCTTCATTCTTTCATGTTTAAAAGGTGCACAGACATTAAACAATTCTCTGACTGTATCAAATCACTGACTTTAATGTATGTGTAAAGCACTTTAAAATGATACAAGACAAAATATATTTAGGTCCATTACTAGCAAAATATCACATGCTAAAGGCTAATGATGCTTCCACTGTAGAAACTGAAGATTGGAAGGAAAAAAAAGCTACTGAAGTGTGAAAATTCTGACATATCAAAAGCTGAGTGTCTCTTACAGTGACCACATAAAGCTATGCCAAAAAAAAAAAAAAAAATCACAATTAAAAGGCAATCAAATTCTAAACTGTTCTATTATTCCCAAAGACAAACATTTCACGGCATAACACTTCAGCAGACAAACTCAAAGCAACTACATGACTACCTTCATCTAAATCCATTACACAGATGAATACAATGCATACCTTGGAATAGACAACCTATAGCTGAAAGTACTACATTCTTCTCCCCCCTTAAAAACTTAAATGATTAAACATCAGAATGTTGTTCAACAAAAATTCAGACACATAATCCAAGAAATATTTGTGTCCATTTAAGAATCCACTGGTTTATTTCACGTTTACATACTAAACACAGGTAATAAATAAAAATTCCTGCCTTTATAAGGAGAGGGCATTCCCTCCCAGTGTGTTGTACTGCTCGGACTTGTCCAAGAGCCATCTACACATAAAATAAAAAGAATACATTACATACAACATCTGAAGCATCATTAGCTCATTTTTTTTTTAAAAACCTCACTATAAATATGAAAGACACTTAAATAAAAGGAAACCAAGTACTCCTGGTCAAAAGCTACAAATACATTCTATAGGCTCAGTCAGAACCCTCCTTTAAAAAAAAGGACAAAAAAGAAAATGTATCAAAATTCACACATCAAACCTAAAACAAAAAATATGTGCAGACTTCTAAGTTCAGAAGCTTCACCAATTACGTTTTTTAAAAAATACAAAGCACTGTAAATCCAGTTTTAATCCACATTTTAAGTTAAACCTGAAACACAGAACAAAGTACTAAAACAAATAAAACAAAGAACATAAAAAATGGTAATAACCTGCAACACACTAGAGTAGCAAACTAGCAACTTCAACCTTTAAAGTGAAATCTTAAAAGGAAAATAATGAAAACACAGCATATAAAGATTCATTCACATATGAGAAAAATCAGTGAAGTGTCTCCTACACAATTTATATATATATTTTCCCCTAATATTATTAACAAGAAGTCTGTGCAAACTGTCAAACTGGCACAATCCTAAAGGAGAGAAACGAACTGTTTTCTAGAAGGACAAATTTCTGGTTGACTCAAATTTTACCTACCTTGCCTAGGTCCTTTTTTTCTCCTTTCCTTTCGAGACCAATACACACCTCATAATTTTAGAAACCTTATAATACAAGTAACGTCTCAATAAAATAACATATGAAAATTATCAAAAATCACTTCAACTAAAAACTGTATAAACAATTAAAATACTTGTGGTTATAACCTACCTCCATCTTCTAGTGGTCTTTTTTGTCCTCCATAACCATAGTCATTTGAATTCAGTGATGTACCAGCATCACCCCCAATTTTTGCTGCAATCTTGAAAAAACCCAAAAAACAAAAATACACCATCATTAATAGCATCACAACTACTGTATACTCTTCAGTACTAGATTTCCTCATTTATTTCCTAATACATATATATGCTAAATATTCTTTAGTATCATATATGAAAATTCACTTGATAAATTAAAACTACAGTTTATCACTACCATTAATACTTCAGGGAGTTAACAAATAACCATCGTCTAGGATTAAGCTTCTGATACATCCCTATAAGAACCAACAAAGTAATCACTTGGGGGGGGGTGGTGGTGGGTGGGGTGTGTGTGTGTGTGTGTGTGTGTGTGTGTGTGTGTGTGTGTGTGTGTGTGTGTCTGAATCTGTTACCTTGGGGTTATAAGGCTGTGCTCTAACCAACTGAGCTAACTGGCCAGTCCAGGAATCCTTAGGAGACCAAATAGCTTTGAAGAAAATCTGGATCCTAATTCTATCTTCTCTATAGTGCTCTCCCAAGACTCTTCAAAAGATGTGTGAGGACACTGAGAAGATTAACAATCTGTGGAACTCTAAGGCTATGCTGTCTAATAATGTAGCCACTAGCCACATGTGGTTACTGAGTAGCTGAAATGTGGCTAGTTTGAACTAACATGTGCCTTAAGTTTAAAATATGCACCGGATATTGAAAATTTGGAACAAAGAATGTACAGCATCTCAAAAATTTTTATATTAAACACATGTCAAAGGGGTAATATTCTAGATATGTTGGGTTAAACAAAATATGTGACTTGCATTATATTTCTATTGGACAGTTGTTTAAGGATACATGCAGGAGCCTGGGGAGCTCTAGTCTGAGAAAGCTTGAGCAACGGAATCATAATCCATCCTATTAAAGACATTTCACTCTTAAAACATTTTTAGCTTTTAGAGAGGCACAAATAATTGTTTGCACTTGATTAAACAAACATCATATAAGAAATACTAGTTTGGGGCTGGCCAGTTAGCTCAGTTGGTTAGAGCATAGCCTTGTAACACCAAGGTCAACAGTTCAGTTACACTTACCCACCAGCTGCCAACCAAAAAACAAAACAACAACAAAGAAATACCAGCTTCAAGTCACAAGTAGGGCAGGGGATATTTACTGCATTTTCTATTAAGGAGAAATGGAACTAATATTGCTGAGTGCCAGCAATGGGCCAAACTCCATACTGTAATGTTTTATATTCATTATCAAAGATGTATGATGTGCTCATGAGAGTTTACTACATCATTCTCTCAACTTTGAGTATATCTGAAATCCTTCTTGATAAGAAATTAAAACGAAACTCTTGGTGACTGGAATTCCAAGGGATCCTGATGCAGAACTAATCTAATTGTCTCAAGCTTTACTACAATCAGGACACTGGAAAGGATAAGAGCATATTCAAGGACTTGAGTCTTGAATCTAATATGGATCATTTAAGTCCGATATGTATCAGTTCACATATACCCACTGTACTTCCTGGGGTTCCTAGACTTCCCTTTTCCTCACCTGTAAATGCAAACACCACAACGCATATTAAAATCACATATTAAAATGCTTGATAAAAAAGGTACACAATTTGATTTTCCTGACTCCTTATAGCTTTGGTTAACCTAATCTTCCTTAGCCATCCTTCACTTTCTCAATTAAAAGCCTGTTTTTGTCTTTGGGCATCTAATTCAAATCTTATTTCTTTCCTGGAAGTTTTTCTAATCACACGTGAAAACACTGCTTTTTTCACCCTTACATCTTAAACCACTTAGTATTTGAATTGTTCCTTAGGAACTTAAATACTCTACCCAGCAAGGACAGGTACTGATGTTAGAAGGAAACTATTTCAAGCCAGAGAAAATGGTACTACCAAGAACAGGAAAATAGTTTAGGTGGTGAATACCTTCTACAGTTAGCTATTATAAATGCTCAATGAGTTTGCAGAGCAGCACTCCTTGAACTTCAAGGAACTTCTGCAGAGAGAAAGAATACTTACTTATACCTCCTTATTCATCCACTAAACTATCCAAAGGAAAGTGAACGTTGATACTCACCTCATTCAAAAGAACGAGTAATACCATCTCAAAAATTGAGAACCCATAAAAGACATTAGAGAAGAGCTTTTCAGTAAAAATACTGACAAAGATTCGTTCATTGAATCTTTAACATCAATAGAAGATATACATTTCCTAAGTCACAACGAGGATTAATTTAAGAGAAATAATAATTCCTAAAAACCAAACTGTAACTGTATCCAATTCTTAATAAACATATAAAGTGTGGGCAACTTTTTAATTTGATTTTAATTTACAAAAATAGTGCAGTAACACCAGGGTCATGGATTTGGATCCCTGTAAGGACCAGGTGTAATACCCAAAGACCTAATGGAAGAATCCCAATCTCATTTCATTCTCTGGAGTTATGGCTTGTAATACACAAAAATAAAGTGTACAGGTTGGAAATCCTTAGCCAGAGAAGCAATCTGGTGCACCTGTGTTGGACTTAGCTCAGCACATTATAAAAATCTGGGAATTTCACATAAAAATAATCTATCAAAAATCTCTAGAAAAATAGAAGACTGGGTAACTTGGTCTAAATTACCAAATGGCAAAAACCAGCTATCGCTGATCCCTAGGGACCAGGGATCCTAACCACTTGTCCTGCTTTCCTGCATAACAAAGAACTGTCCAGTTAAAAATACCAATGGCATCTCCATTGGTACAGCTTTTTAAGCCTCATGAGGACAAGAAGCTGTTCTTATATCTCTTCTTTCCAGAAAACGTAGCATAGCACTCTGGACAAAGAAAAGAAATAATCAGTTGCCTAGAGTATGGAGTTACAACAGCAAGGTCAAGTGTAGGGATCCCTGTACCCTCCAGCCGCCAAAAAAAAAGAAAAAAAAGAAAAGAAAGAAAAGAAAAGAAAAGAAAAGAAATTTAAGATTAAATGGAAACTTTGGAAAGATATTTCAATATCATCTTAATAAACAGATAAGGAAAAAGTGGTGCAGACATTCATACAACTTGTTCTTTAGTCTAAGGACTCTTCCCTATATATACTCTAAGCTGATACGAGCGAGGATACTTTAAAAAGTTCATTGAAAGGGGCCGGCCCGGTGGCGCACTGCTACAGTGCGCCGTTGGGAGTGCGGTGGCGCTCCCGCCGAGGGTTCGGATCCCACATACAGACCGGTTCCCGCTCACTGGCTGAGCGAGGATAACTTTTAAACTTAAACCATCAAAAGAAAAAAAAACACACTATAATTTTATCTTGAAATGAATAGTTTTGAAAGCATTAGCAAAACCCTAAATATGCAATACTAGGGCAATGGTTATGTAAACAGCAACACGTACATTATGAAGAGTCTTCAAAAAATTCATGGAAAAGGGCCGGCCCATGGCTCACTCAGGAGAGTGCAGTGCTAATAACAAGGCCATGGGTTCGGATTCTATATAGGGATGGCCGGTTTGTTCAGTGGCTGAGCGTGGTGCTGACAACACCAAGCCAAGGGTTAAGATCCCCTTACCGGTCATCTAAAAAAAAAAAAAAAATTCATTGAAAAATGGAATTAAAAGACAGTACGAATCTTTCCATTAACTTTTTGAAAATTTTTTGTATAATCAGACAAGCAGCTACAACTAGTATTTATAGACATCCTCAAACGTTGTAAGTGGTAATTCCCCTCAAAAGCTACACTCGGGAATCTTAGATTTAAGGTTAATTCTGTAAAGAAACAAATTATAACAGCAAAGACGTCAGGGTAGCTGATCTTTTGGCATATAAAGAGGAAAGAAATTCACTTGAGGGCAATTTCTATATTTAAAAAAGTCTAAGGCAGGAAATCATAGCTTAGCCCAATAATGAAGTCCAATTTTTAACTAAAGCATGGCAAACCAAGGTCTTTCAGTATTTGGATCCATCTGTACCTTTTTCTAACCTTATTTTCCACCTTCTTTCCCCCACTCAATAATATCATCCAGTGACTTCATTCACTCTTGAATCACTGCAGTCTACTGGCCAATCTCTCATTCTTTAATGCCTTGCTCAAATATCACCCTTTTCCTTAGGCAGTTAGGCACCAACTCCCTGGTGTCCTGTACAGTGCTTGACACACTGGCACTCTGCCCATATTCTGTCTACTCTCTCATTAATCGAAGCATTAATTAGATAATCCTGTTCATTTACATTTGGTTCCTTAACTATATCATAGTTTCCTAGAAAGCAGGAATCCAATTCACACGCTTTAAAAAAAAAATCTCCAGTATCTATATACAGTGTGTGGCACAAATTAATTCCACAGGCTCGTTGAATCAAATAATTCAGATGAGTCTTCCAACCCAATCTAATAAACCCACTATCAGAGTTTCTTTTTTTTAAAAAAATATTTTATTTTATTTTTGTCGATACACAATGTGGCTGATTATTGTGGCCCATTACCGAAACCTCCCTCCCTCCTCTCTCTCCCCCTCCACTATCAGAGTTTCTGTCACCGTTATATAAATGTTTCGATAGCTATCGAAGCATGTTCTGAAGTAATAAAAAACATTAGGTGAAAAAAATGCAGAACTAGTATGAATGATGACCTTTTGTTAATTACCCCTAAAATTTCTGGCTATAAACAAGTACAGATACGTTTTTGTCATATGTTCACATTGGATGTTACTACAGAGATTATGAATTTTCATTCGGACACAACGATCCTTTAGTCACACTAGAGCGCATAAAGTCAGCGAAGTGAACTAATGAAATCAAAACATAGGACGAAACTGGTTTCCGAATACACCCACTCGCATAAAACTAGTCTAAAATGGCTAGCCATCTAATAAAATATACAGTGTCATAACGAGAATAAGATTCTTCTGCTTACATACAAGTTCACACCAACATTATAATTTTTAAATTATAATTAAAGGACTACCTAAAAAGGTAAAGTTCAAATTAAGTAGTCTGTAATTTTCCCGAAATACATGCACTATATATTTTTAAAAACAGCTTTGTACGGTAAAGAAGTACCTTCAGGGCAAATGTACGCACCTACGTAATACAAAGAGGTCTGGTCAGTTTACAACTCAGAACAGAGAGGCAGATTCAAACTGAAACCTCTGGTATGATGGGCCTGAGGCCATTTTGATGAATAAAGGGGAAAGACTGATAGAACAGACTGACACGTAAATCCCGTCCAGTGAAAGGTTGCTCTTTTAAGTCTCCTCCTTGTAGATGTGACGGTGAGTGACACCAAAAGCTTTTTTAATTGTTTCTTTAATTGCGAGGGAGAGCTCAAATGAGCAGGAAGCTGTAAAGACTGTTTTAATGACAAACCCTTTCCCTTACTATGGCTCCTGCAGACAGACCCTAGTCCTCCTCTAAACTCGTTACCAGAACCTTCCGTATTATTACGCGTACTTTATCCTTATCCCATGAAAGAGAATGTTCATTCTGAGGAAAAGGAAGGTCCGAGCTAACTCCTTGGAGAAGCGCGTGTGTCGCAGAAGTGGGAAAAGACTTAAGGCCGTCTTTGCGTTAACACACGTTGAGGTTCTAAGCGGCTTAAACACCAAGAACACAAAACCGAATTCTGGTCTCTCATCTATATTACCAACGTGAGGCAATTTAAGTCTCCTCACATTTCACACTTCCTCATGCGCGAAGAAGTAGCGGCCTACTCTGCCAGCGGCCAATTACCGTGAGCTCTCAGGATCCCGCCGCGTTGTCCACACTTACCTGCCGGGCTCTCTGCAGGGCATCTTTGAAAGCATCATTAACTCCTCCACCACCACCGCCGCCGCCACCACCACCAGATGAGCCAGAGGAGGGTGGAGGCACTGTTGAATAGTCTGCCATGGCTACACTACCGAAGCCGCTGCTCCTTCTTCAGAGACCTCCTTTCAGCTAACTGCTAAGAAAGAAAGAAAATGGCGGCCGTCGAGGCTCTATCACATTCTTGCGCGACCATCGTGCTGTAAAGGGGCGGGGACTGAAAGAAAGAAATCTCGCGATGCTTCTGAGTCAACGCGGTGGTGCGGGGGTGGGGCTGAGAAAGGAATCAGAAATGTCGCGAGAATTGAGTTTAAGATTTCGCGAGAATAGGGTTTATTTTGGTGCCCCCTCTCCGCGCATACTTCGGGTGAGACTGAGTAATTGTTCCTTCGGGTTGGTAGGTGAGGCTAGGCTTGCGGGGGTGGCTGCGGTTGGTTTTGGGCTGCGGAAAGCCTGAAGAAAAAAAATAGTGGTTTCTTACCGGTCGCCACCTGAGGGAGGTAGTGCGGAAGAATTCACCGGTTGCGGGGGTGGCTGCGGTTGGTTTTGGGCTGCGGAAAGCCTGAAGAAAAAAAAATAGTGGTTTCTTACCGGTCGCCACCTGAGGGAGGTAGTGCGGAAGAATTCACCGCCAAGGGTCATTTTGTGTGTCCGTGGGGAAGGGCGTGACGCCGAGGGGCGTGGCAGCGACGCCACAGTGTCTCGAGAGCGCTGCCGCCCGGAGGGCGCCAGGGAGAAACGCATCCGGGACGTCGCGCGCTTATGCTCCTGAAAACGTCTGCCAGGCCTAGCGGGAACCCAGCATGATTTTCAGGGTAGTAAAGTTTCCCTGTATTTTACTTAACAGACTCAAATCTTTGAGTTTTATCACAACTGAGGGTGAATTCAGGAGGAGGGCTCTTAGTTCTTTAGCTTATTTCCAAGATTTTGTTTAAAATAATGTGGCTGTGACGATAAGACTGTCATTTTCTTTATCTTTTAAAAACGTGATTGTTTCCAAAATTCAGTGTTAGCCACACTTAGTAACCCGGTATTGTAGGTGTCCGTGGCCAGTTTTATTGAGGTCCTTATAATTAATTAATTAATTAATTAATTCTTAAGAACAGCATCCAGTTCATGACTTTGTGGTTTCTTAGTAGTAGTTTCTCACAGCTCCAGACTTTGGGTACGCAAATATAAGGTTCCGAATTATCATCCATGGACTAGATTTTTTTAAAATTATGGTTTTCTGTTATATACTTCAGCTAAAAATTTTCAGACATTTCTTCAGGCCTCCCGAGCATATCCTGGCACGTAATTTACTGCGTTAATAGTAGTAGTACCAGGAATCATTAGGGTGCTTTAAAAGTCATCTTTTTACAGTGATTCCTCCCCGCCCCCCCTTCTTTGCATTTAGATAACAAAGAATGAGGTAAAAAGAACTTTTACAACTTTGTGGCATTTTTTGTTTTCTGTAAATTAGGTCTTAAAAAATACTTTTCCCGCTGCTGATCATAAAGTAATTGAGAGAAATGTGTGCTGCAGTCTTCCCTATAACCTAAAACTAATGTGTTCACTTGCTCAATGCCCAAAACAAATCAGTTAACTAAACAGTTGTATGTATGTAGATACAAGTGCACCATCATTTTCCTCTAATAAGCTTTAACTATCATTTTAGCTATCTGTAGCTTTACCTTTTCAGTGTTCTTAGCTATCCCTTTAAATTTTGGTGGAATTTGTAGTGAATGTATTGGACTACAGATTTAATTACAGCAGTATATATGTAGAAAAGCTGTAAAAGTAGTGTTTGGTGGTATTTCTAAATAGAAATTTTTTAATTGTAGTTTGAGAAAGTCTACCGAACAAATGGCATTTATTAATCAGTAATTGATTTTTTCCATATTTTATTAATTAGACTTATATACCAATTACACCTTTTGATTAGCATAATATTACCACAGAGTGATATAATTTACCCCAAAAACAAATAATCTTTTTTTCATGTACACCACAGTTTATTTTAGTTATCTCTAAATAAAATAAGACATTCATTTCTAATTTTATTTTTGTAGATTCTTCTGGAAATATAGAATGGGAACCAATTGGAGTCAATCTAGACTGGGATTTCTCAATCTCAGCACTGTTGACATTTTGGACAAGATAATTCTTTGTTTTATAATACTACTGTGTATTATAGTATGTTTAGCAGCATCCTTGGCCTCTACCCAGACATGCTAGTAGCATGCCTCCCTCCCAGCCACCCACCTACCAATCAGCCACCAGTTGTGACAACCAAAAATGTCTCCAGACATTACACAAAATCACTTCTCATTGAGAACCTTTGGTTAGGCTTGATTCCTGTCGCACTCTGGGTTTTCTGCCTCAACTTATACTCATCACCTACACCTACCCCTTAACAACAACTAGCCAAAAGACTCTCATAACTTTATGCTGTACTATGTCATTCACTCTATCTGTGTTTTTCCAGTGCACACTCACAACAGATGCCCGTTAGATAAGAGGAAAGGCAGCCACTTCAAATTAAAGTGGTGGTCCAGGATGATGTTAGGGTATTTGATCATTAGGTGGGTGATTGATCTTATTTTTATTTCCCTTCTGATTGAGTTGCTGGGATTCTATATCAGACTAAGGTGTGAATGGAAATAGGTGTGAATGTCTTTTACATTTTAAAAGTTGTTAACACAAATGGAACTTCGGAACATTGTAGAGAATAACAGTTCAACCAGTGTCTGAAACTGGAGGCAGCCCAATACAGTGGTAAAGACTTTTTAGATTTGGTCTCAGAGGGTCCAGAGGGTCTAGCTTCAAGTCTGACCCTTGTGCCCTTTGGTAAGTCACAAGTTTGTTCTTTGGCCATCATACCAAAAAGAGAGGGCAATTTAATCTGTTTCTGAGAAGTCACTAACAACAGTAAAAGGTAATAAGAATTCTTGTGTTTTTACACAGTCATTTTGGTTTCCTTTTCAGAAGTTGCCATAGAATCATCTCACCCTGAGTTAGCAAAATTTTTTCTCTGATTTGGATGCCAAATTTGATAGTGTGTCCTGATTGAAGGGCTGTTAGGGAACTGAAGAATACTAGGATATTGTTCATGACCATTGATTTACACTATATGCAGCCTTTTACCATCATTGCCATTTCCACCTGTTCATAACTGTAGAGCTGCTGGGCCTTTGCATATACCTTTCTCTCCATAAGGAGCATACTTCTGACCTCTTTCATTTTACTGTTGCTTGGTAATTCCCTGTTTTTTTTCAGAAGGCCTGTTCTCATGTACCATATCTTGGCAATTATACCATATATCATTTATTGTTTATTTGGAATTCACACTAGATTGTAAAGTCCATGACAGTAAGGGCTGTGTCTTTTTCTTTGTCTTCACTGCATGGCACATTCTGAAACAGCAATAGCTAATAATAGCTAATGCTATAATAGGCACTGTTCTAAGTGCTTTACATATATTAATTTATTCTCATAATGGGCTTAAAGAGGTAGGTACTATTAATATCTCTGTTTTGCTGGGGTACAGATATATTAACTAACTTGCCCAGGGTCACGTATTAGTATTAGAGCTGTCTGACTGGAAAGAATGGAATTGTCTATGAAAAGGTAGGTAATGAAATGTATCTCTTTGTAATTTCTAGAGAGTGGTTCACAACTTAGTATTTTTCATTTGAATTTTTTAAGTGTTTGTATTATTATTATTATTATTTTGTTTGATTTGCATTAGTTTTTATCAAGACTTAGGCCGAAATGCTTCATGGGAAAGCAGCTCTTTCTGTAAGGTAATAATAGTAGATTTTAACTAAAAAATTTGAAGAACCCATGTGTGTGTAACAATGTAAGTTGGTTTTCTGTAATGCTAATTGCATTGGATGGGTTAATAATGTGCGTTACTAAAGTACATAGTGCTTTATGGTTTGTGTATATATATATATAAGTATATATACAGTCCATACATACTTACGTATATTTGATGATGATTGATGATTAGTGTTATTTTTTTAAATACATCGTTCGGAGGGTTTATGTATTTGTAGTCCACATCACTAACTAGATTGTAAGCCTCTTCAAGGCAAGGATAGGATTGATTAATTTTCTCCCTGTATTACCATACAGCACGTGTGATAATGTTTGTACTGTTTGTCTGCATGTTGGATACCTCCACAAAATAGCCCATCTGCCAAAAGAAGCATATAAAGAGTTTTTAGATTAGACTTCTGAGAATTCTGAGTAAAATTCTTTATAGTTTAATCTCTTAGAACAATTAATGCTTGAGAAAAAGGTTCTTTGTGAAAATATGACTAATTTTCTCTGCTTTTTAGGACATCTTCAGTGAAGGTGGGAAGAATATCTAGAGGGTTGCTAAAGTGTCATTTTCAAATTTACAGTTTTCTTCAAATCTAATGAGAGAAGAAATATCCTTACTGTATCATACAAAGGGTCTCTCTGAATATAGAGTATTTGTCTAGCTGCACGTATCTTTGGTAGGATCTGTTCTTTGGCCAGGATCATAGGAGATATAACAGCATCATAGGATATATAGGAAATTGATATCAATTTTTAGTGAGAAATGTTTAGAACTCTGTGCTACTGCTGGTAAGACATAACACTCCCAACTTCCCATTACATTATTTTGTGGTCAGAAACATATTTTTTCCTTCACTGTTTGGATCATGTATTTATATATGAGTTGCTTTCATTTTTTCTGTTACATTTTCTCTTCTTCATTAACTTTTTAGCCAAGTAAAAATCGAGATTAAAAAATCACCTTTTTCATGAAATTAACCTGACTTAACGAATTCCAGTCATCTTTTACTTACTCATTGGTTGTCTGCATTGGCTCTAGGGAGCTTTCGAAAAATTTGAAGGTTAGTCCCAACTCTTCACTCCCAGAGACTGATTTAATTGGTATCTATTTGAATCTGTAAAAGCTTTCTAGGTTAATCCTAAAGTGCAGATCACACTTGGAGAACCACTGAAATGGACCTGAAGTTTACAAGCTCTGTCAGACTATTGCTTATTTTTAATGGCTTGCAGTTTAGTTCTAGTGTTATGGGTATATAGTCGAGAAAAATTCAAGATCTAGAAACATTTTCTTTTTTCTTTTTCTTTTTTTTTGGCAGGTGGCCGGTATGGGCCTTGACCTTGGTGTTCGTTTTCTATTTTT